AACTGTACTGGATAGGAGAGAGAAGTGGCGTTTGGATTTTTTTTTTTTTTTTTTTTTTTTTACAACTCCCTTTTTAAAAACATTTACCTTTATTGTAGAAAATATTATAGATGTTTTCCCCCTCCCTGCCCCCATTCACCATCTCTTCCCAATCTAGCCCCCTACCCAGGCCTTCCCCCCATGGGCTATGCATGTGTGCAAATACATTCATTGATCTCTTCCCGCTGCCCCCTTCTCTCGGGGGCAATTCCCTCTTATGTTGTTTGTTATTTAAGATGTTTATCAGGGATGAGTGACTGGAGAAGGGCTCACAGCTCCCATCTCTGCAGCAGCCACTCCACTCCTCGGATGTGGCTTCAGTTTAGGGCCCCGCAGGTATAGTTTTTTTTCTCTTTCTTTTTAACTTAATTTTTCTGTTAAGGCATACAATGCATACAGTAACATTTATTCTTTTTAGCACATAGTTCAGTGAGTTGTGACAAACTCATGACCATTTAACCACTGTCACAATGAAGATACAGAACAGTTCCTTCACCTGAAACATTTCCTTCTGTGGCTGTCGTTTGCCTTCCGCCTTCCACCGCCTGCACCTGGCAGCCACTGGCCTCTTCCTGCCGCTGGAGTTTTACCTTTTCCTGAGAATCACGAATGAGTTTGACATGCTTGCTGTAGTATGTAGCCTGGCTTCTCTCACATGGCACACCCGGCATTTGTGGTTTCCCTCTGCTGTTGTGTATATTGGTAGTTTGGTCAGTTGTCCATTCATTTTTACTGCTGAGTAGTACTCCACTGTAGAAATGCTGTTGTTTATCCATTCACCAACTTCTTTCTACAAACAGTTGTGTGCTGGTTTTGGGTAAACCTAAATGTTCATTTCTCCTGTGTAAATAGGAGAGTGGATCATGAGTAGTACAATAAATGTGTGTTTAACATTATAAAAGGCTATCAAAGTGTTTTTTAAAGTGGCTATATCATTGTGTATTCCTACCAGCAGTGTTTGAGAATTCCAGCATCTTTGTCAGCATTTGGTGTTGCTACTTTTTAAAAAAATAATTTTTAAAAAACATTTTTATTTCATGGAGGAAGGGAGAGGGAGAGATAGAACTATCAACGATGAGAGAGAATTATTGATCGCTGCCTCCTGCATGTCACTTGGGGATCAAGCCCACAACCCGGGCATGTGCCCTTGGCTGGAATTGAACCCTGGGCCCTTCAGTCCCAAGGCTGATGCTCTATCCACTGAGCCAAAGCAGGTAGGGCTGGTGTTGCTACTTTTTACTGTCAGCTGTTCTGACACAGGGACTTGATAGCTGTCTTCACTACTTGCAGGTCTGCTGTGTAGAAAAGGAATCGCAGTTGTACCTTGTGGCCCTTTGGGGCAGAGCGAGGGTCATTGTGGGAAATAGCCTTTAACTCCCGCAGAGAATCACTCCGTGGGGGACGGTTGGATGGGTTTTGTGTGCGGGAAGGAGTGTGCTCCCTCACTGTGGAGGGTTCTAACAGTCCTGATGGCCATCTGGGGGATTCTGCTAACGATTTGGATGGGAGGGCAGCAGCATCTTCCAAATTCCTTTCAACCCCGAGATGCAAGTAAAAGGGGAAATCCTTATTTTCAGTTGACTGGGATGGAGTGAGTTTTCTGCAGTACTTGCTGTTATTTTGGAACTTCCTGGCTTAGCACATCTGGGGACGCTTCCTGAGGGCCCCGGGCCTCCTCTGTCCCCCGCCTTCCTTACTAGAAGCACAGGGGCGCCCAGCCGCATTCCCCTCCATCAGGGAGCAGCTGCCTGATGGCTTCTCAGGCCTGGGCGGCCTCACTTTTGTGTGTTTCTGTGTGCTCAGCCTTGGGGCAGGAGAAGGGGCACCAGAGGCACCCCTGTCAGGAGGCCGTGCAGCGCAGGGGGAGGCCCTGGCTCTGGAGTTAGAGCTGCGTGTTGCGTGGGGTCTGCCGCTTTCCTAGCTGTACAGTCTCTCTGGGCGTCATTTTCTCAAGGGGCGGTAATAGCGCACACCTAGGAGGGTGCCGTGGGGATGAAGGAGGTCAGGATGGAGGGTTTAGCACAGAACCCAGCGCCAGGCTGTGGTGGGCAAATGTCAGCACTCACTTCATCGTCTGCATGATCCGCTGCCCCGGACCCTCACCCTGCAGAGACAGACCGGAGGCCATGGCCGTGCATGGTGACAGAGCTGATGGTCCCCGCTTTCTCCTGCTGCTCCTCTCCAGCTTCTGCGGAAGCCGATGGACGCACGCACGCATGCACCTTCTGTCGCTTCATGTGTGACATGAGGGGAGAATCCTTGATGTCCCTGGAGGCAGGTCTCTGCCCCTGGTGGCTTTCCGTTCCCTAACCCGAGATGTGATGCTTCTCGGATGCTCGGTGCGCTTGGGCGCAGCACCAAGCGGCCGTTCTCAAAGCAGGGCCAGGGTCCCCGCGGTCTCCTCAGGGGCAGTGAGGTCCAAACCCTTCCTCAGTGACACGCAGGTGTCACTTGCTCCTCCACGCTCACACACTCGCTGTGGGTGGGGTTTTCTGAAGGCCTGCCAGGGCATGCCATCCTGCACGGACACGAGGTAAGCCAGGCACCAAGCAGCATAAGGATGCCCCGCCATGCTGCTCTTCTTGCTGCGTTTCTTGTTTTGTAATCAAAAGGGTCGTTCACTTTTAATTTAAAAAAAAAAATCTTATGTAAATCGGTAGTAGGTGTTTGCTTATTTTAAAACTAGATTTTCAGAATTCGTAGTTGTAATTTCTAATCTGGTAGGTAGTGTTAGGCAGATGTCGCCCATGTAAACAAAAGCTCTTTGCAGTCCTTAGTCATGTGTGAGAGTATAGAGAGGTCCGGACATCAAAACGTTTGGGAACTTGTGGGTCAGGCCTTGGCTGTGGGGTCTGGGCTGCAGAGGGAGGCTCAGTGCTGTCATCTCTGGCTCAGCGACCTGGGCACGCTGCTTAGCCTTGACGAGGTTGGGTGTCCTGAGCTGTAAGAGGGGAATGACAGTGGTATTTTCCTTACGGGGAGTGGGTGGGGTGATGTATGGAAAGCATTTCAGAAACTGCCGGACACAAAGTAAGCGCTGCTCATGGCCGTCATTTGGGAGGCAGGGAACGTGGTGGCAGTGTGCGCGCCAAACCTATTGGAATTGATGAACCAACCTTGCTGGTCCTCGATTTTCTCACCTGTAAAATGGGGTGGCAATCGTAGGGCCCGCCTGGGTTGTTGGGAAGCTGGAGTTAATGTCTGGGACATCTGTGTTGTTTGTGCTGTGAACGTTTACTGCCCCCTTTCCGGGTGCTCTCTGAGCCTCTGCATCCCACTCGCTGAGGTTTGCCAGTCTTCCACGGGTAAGTTCCCCCGGAGTTCAGAGGGTGACTCATGGACATCTCCCGGAGGGGCACCGGACACATGTCCAGAGGAAGCCCCATTCATGAAGACTCGGCCCTGGGCTCACCCCATAAAAGGGACTTCATTTGCCAGAGAGCAAGAAATTGTGCAGCCCACACCCAGCTGCGACAAGCCTTTTCCCAAAATTCCGGGGCGGGGGGGGGGGGGGGGGTAGGATGCGGGATGTTCGGGGGAAGGCGAGGGAAATCGTCAGGCTGTGGGGCAGAACCACCTGGGGAGGAAGATGGGAAGGGCTGGTCTGGGCCCTACTTTGAAGAACATTCTGACCCCAGAGTTCTGGCCCGGAGTACAGAAGTCCTGGGGGGCAGGGCGTGGTGGTTTTAAAATACATGCATTTTGGGGGGTACTAGGTTTAGGTGTTTGGGGTACCAGTGTTGGGAACCTGAGCTGAACGTGAGGCTCCTCCCTCACACCAGGGTATGGCTTGTCACCACAGCGTGGAGCTCCCCATCCTTCCTGGCACTCCTGGGAAATGCGAGGCCACACCTGGGTGCCCCTCTTTTGTCTTGGTGGGGACACTTGTTTTTTTGTGAACAGCCAGCCCACAAGGGTCAGCTGAGGGTGTGGGGGGTCAGGACGGCAGAGTCAGAAGGCATGCATTTGCCCTTCGCACATTTGAGGGCTGTGGGGGTGAGTCAGCCTCCTAGGTCCCGTCTATGAAGTGGGAAGGCTGCTCTGAGTTCCTGACCTGAGTTCCTGGCTCCCTGAGGGCCGAGGGCATCTCAGGTAAACACACGGACAGAGTTAGATATAAAGGCAGCATGGACTCATCTCTTTCCCGGACATGTGAGCGGGGGGCTGTCCTGTTAGGAAAGGATTCGGGTCTTGTCAGAGGTGCTGGCAGTGGCACTGTTCCCGGAAATAGCAGGAGGCACGGGGCTCCCTTCAGGACGCTTTCTTCCTGGCCCAGAAGCTGAGGGCCTGATGTGGGCCGGGCCACCAGAGCCCCCACGACTTCCCTGTACCACCTTACACTTACTAACTGTGGGCAGCGCTCCCTGACCGCCCTCCAGCCCGCACCCCTGGGCTGTGGGCAGCTCCTCAGGCAGGGGGCTGGCTCAAAGAAGGGGGCTGTACGAAGTGACCAGCACTGGCCAGGGGAGGATGGGGACCCAGCCCTGGGGCCCAGCTTTGGAGCCAGTCACCTTGGTCCTCAGAGCTTCACTGGGTCCCAACTGGACCTTCCTCCTCAGGCCACAGCCTCTTCTCTGCTGGGGCTCAGATGGGCCTCTCCGTGCCCAGGGGTGGGCGATAGTTACTGTTTCCAGATGAGGCGAAGATGCGAGGATTAGGGCCGAAACAGTCGATGCTGGAGGTGTCCTGGCGGGACTGGGAGGAGGGAGGTGCTCGGGGTTCTCAGCCGGGGCCAGGAGAGCGGGCTGTGAGTGCTGGGAGTCTGGGGACCGCCTGAGCTTTGTTTTTGTTTCGTCTCTCACTCTCTGACGTGGTGTTGTCATCTCTGAAGCGCGATGCTAACAGGATACACCTGGTAGGGCCGTTGGGCGTAAGTGATGCAAGCCAAGAGTCGGAACGGTGCCTGGCAGCTGGTGACTCTGTCCAAATGCCAGTTCACGTTATTATTTCCCTCCCGCCAGGAACCACCGGGAAGGCACCGTCCCCGCCGCCCCTCCTCACGGACCGCCAAGTGAACGAGAAGGTGGAGAACCTCTCCATTCAGCTGCGGCTGATGACCCGAGAGCGGAACGAACTGCGGAAGCGCCTGGCCTTCGCCACTCACGGGACCACCTTTGACAAGAGGTAGAGATCAGCCAGCTCCCCTGCCCAACGCTCACCAACCTGCCCAAGGGCACGGGTTATTATCCTGGTGCCATCACCATCCCCTCCCCGCCAGGGGGTCCTCAGCTCCAGGGGGGAGGGGCACAGGCTTGTCGTGCTTCTTCCAAATGGGAATTGAAGCCCGTGGCCTGAATCACACCACTCGAGGACTGAAAGATGTGGGTGTGTCTATCAGAGGTTTGGCCCCTGATGGTGGTGTCTCTCTGTGTGTGTGTGTGTGTGTGTGTGTGTGTGTGTATGTGTGTGTGTGTGTGCACGCGCACGCACATGTGCATGTGCCACTGTCTGGGAAGTTACGCAAACACATTCATTGTACCCTGTGTATTAGGAAGACCATATCCCACCTGGCTTGTTTGTTTTGAGGACAATCTTTCATTGATCCTGTTGCCAGGAAAGGGCGGTCCAAGGGTTGGGGAAGAGGGAGAGGCCTTCCCCACCTGCGTGATCCAGGGGGACTTCGTGGAGGAGGAGGAGGAGGGATACAGAGTGGTTTATCCTTCCAGGAGGTGCTGGAGGGGTCCTTAGTGTTTTAGCTTCTTCTTTTTAGGAGCATGTGTGTGCCTTGTCCCGAGGAAAACTCCTCTTGGGGGAATGTCGGGCTGTAAGCCTGCTCCTTGGGGTTGCTCTGATGAGGAAATGCCCCCGTCAGATGGCACCAAGGCGGGCCGTGAAGACACGGTGTGCCAGCGTGCACGTTGTCCACGGCTACTTACATGCTACGGAGGCAGCGTGTGTGGTTCCACAGCAGCCGTGTGGCCAGCAAAGTCTGAAGTGTGGCTGATGTCTGCTCTGGGACAGGGGTTCTCAAACTCGAGTGAGCAGGGCAATCCGTAGGCCTTACTGTTGAAGCACAGATTGCTAGTTAGCCCACCCTCCCTAGTGTCTGATCCAGGAAACCTGGGGCTGGCCTGACAATTTGCATTTCTAACTGGTTCTCCGGTGATATCAATGCTACAGGTCCTGGAACCTCACTTTGAGAACCACTGCACCCTGCCAGTTTTCTCAGTGTTGGCTGCACATTGGAATCCCTTGGAAAGTTAAAAAAAAAAAAAAAAAATTCTGTTGTCTGATTTCCATCCCAGGGTGCTGATATATTGGCCTGGAGTTTTAATGTGTACCCAAGATGGAGAATCACTGGTCTAAAGAGAGAAGAAACCTCATCATGGGTTTCTGGTGGACCCACTGTGTGCATAGGCCTGTCACAAGGTCTCCCAGAAGCTCCTACATGGTACATTCTCAGCTCTTCAGGCCCCTGCAGGGAGCTCGGGCAGCTGAGGGTCCCTCCATCCTGGGGATTCTCATTCTGTTGGCGTGTGTGCAGCCGAGGCATCTGAGCGTAACACATCCTGGTAGTTGTGGTGCATAGGAGACGTATTTGGGAACCACTGGGCTGGGGTGACCTAGGTCACGGCTTCGGGGGAAGAGACGTTCCTTGTCAGTGTGTTCACGGTGCCGTTTGCCCTCTGGGCCAGGCCCTACCACAGGCTGAACCCTGACTACGAGAGGCTAAAGATCCAGTGTGTGCGCGCCATGTCGGACCTGCAGAGTCTGCAGAACCAGCACACCAATGCCTTGAAGCGGTGCGAGGAGGTGGCCAAGGAGACCGACTTCTACCAGTGAGTGGGGCCTGCCTGGCCAGGGCTCCGGCATCCGAGAACGACTGCCTCTTCCCCTTCCCCATTTCTGGTCTTGGAGCCAGGCCTCCTGGTTCTAGTCCTGCCTCTTCCATGTGGCCAGCAGTGTGCCTTCAGCTAGTGGGTTTTGCCTCAGTTTCCCCAAGCACGAAGTGAGGCTTTTAACACCATCTTTGCAGCCTCAGAAGCAGGGTGGTCGGCAGTGATGGAGAAGGGGACTCAGGGGCCGGGCAGATAGATCCCTGGGATTCCGGGTCGCTGTCCAGGGCTTTGCTGCGACTCCTGCCACAGGAGAGGCAGGTGCGGCGTGCACCCTCCTGGTCTCCTGGTGCCCCTCTGAGACCAGGTTCTTTCCTGCCCACCTGCTGATATTTGCTCAGACCTGAGTACCTCAGGACGTGGTGGTGCCAGGCCTGTCCTAGGGAGCCCCCCTTGTCTGTGCACCCTTGTTGGTGTCAGGTTTTTAATAGTGGTGTGGGTCCTTCTGGCGTCTGGCTGACAGCAGGCTTTTGGCCGCCCCTGAGTGCTGGGCACCCAGCTTCTGTGGTTCCCGGCTGGTGTCTTGGTATAAGGGGCCCGGGAGGAGCTGGTGCTGCCTGGGGTGGGGGTGGAGGCAGTTTGGGGCTCACCGTGTGTGGGGGGGGGGCGTTCCAGCACACTCCACAGCCGGCTCCTGAGCGACCAGACCCAGCTGAAGGACGACGTGGACACGTTGCGGCGGGAGAACGGGCAGCTGCTGCGGGAGCGGAACCTGCTGCAGCAGTCCTGGGAGGACATGAAGCGGCTGCACGAGGAGGACCAGAAGGAGATTGGTGACCTCCGGGCCCAGCAGCAGCAGGTAGAGCGGGCTGGGCGCTGGGTGCTGGGTGCTCGGTGCCGGGTGCCTCCCCACCACCTCCAGCCACTCATCCATCAACCCCCCCCCCCCCCCCCCGATAATTTAGCTAGTATTTCTGGAGGGTTCGCCTCATGTGAAGCTCTGGGATATGTGAGCAAACACTCAGGCCTTGCTCTCTGGACTCTGCAGTCCCATGGAGGAGACCCGTGTTAATAAAATAATCCCAGGTACCCGTGTATCATTATGAATGATGCAAGGGCCACCAAGAAGGAGGTGCTATGCAGTGTGTACCGGGTATTAGACTTATTCTGGGGCTGGAGGTTGGTGGTCTGTAGCTTCTTTCCTTCGTACAAATCCCGTGAGATTACAGTTGGAGAAGCTTGGAAACTTTAAAGCCCTGTGCAAATATGAGGTGGGAGTGGTTATCATCGTTATTTTGGTGGGCGTGTGGCCTATTGCTCTTGCCGCTCTCTGCGCTACAAGTTGGTTTCTTTGCTTTGCCCAGCTCTTGTTTCGTGTGGACAAAGGCATGGAGGGGCAGGCCAGTCAGAGCCTGGCTCGCTGTGAGAGATGGTGGCCCCTTCTCCTCTCGGAACTGCCCGGCTGCCCAGGGACACGGCAGGCTGGTGGCATGTTCTGTGTCCACAGAGGGTTGGCTGGGTGAGGTCGGAAGGCAAGCCCAGGAGGAGGCAGAGTGCTGTCCCAGCTCTGCAGCCTGGGTCTGATTAGGCAGAGAGCCCCGTCCCCGTGAGAACCATTTATGGTTCCCTGAGACACTGCAGGACTGCTGGGCTTGCTCAGCACAGTTTGGAGCAACCTGAACTCCTTGGATAGTGTAGCATGACGCTATCTTCATTGCTTTTTCATTTATAATTAGCATTTTTAAATTGTGAAACTTTTACCAGCTTACAGGAGAGTTTTAAGTACAATGCAGAGAATTTCCCCCTTAACATTCAAGAGTACGTTGCCAACCCGATGCCCTGTCAGCCCTGAGCGCGCTAACGTGTCCTTCTGACTGGCAAGGATGTTCTCTACAAGAGCAACACAGGCTCATCGGGAAGTCAGTGTACACACTGCCACCCCATCAGCAGACCCCTTCGCGTTTTGCTAATTGTCTCAATAGTGTAACTGGAAAAGGATCCTGTTCAGAATAAAGCATTGCGTTCATTCCCCACATCTCTTTCATCTTTTAAAATTGGAACAGTTCCTTGGCTTTGACCTGCATGACCTTGATGCTTTGGAATGTTACCAGCCGGGTATTCTGTAGGCTGTCCCCCCACCTGGTTTTGGCCGTTCTCACTGTTTGATGCCCTTTGAGCCTCTTAGGCAGGACCGTCACGGACGTGATGCTGCCTTTTTCTCTTTGTTTCCTATCGGTTGGGACGTGGCTTGAGAGGGCCTGCCACTGATGCTGTTCACTTTATGACTACGGTGATGTCTCCAGGCTTCTCTCCTGTAAAGTTACTTGTTCACCTACCCACCTACCTGTTTACTCATGGTTGCTGTGTTATTCAGCAGGAGCACCTTCCAAGTTGCTTCTCCATTGTTTTGTCATGTCCTCCTCACTCTGAGTGCTGAGTCAGGCACAGGGTCAGTGACAAGATCAAGTCCATGTGTTACATGATTCCATCCACAGGAAATATCCGGAGCAGGGAAGTCTATGGAGACGGAGAGTGGCTGAGGGATGGGAGGATGGAGAGTGATCTGCTAATGGGGACCGACTTCTTTCTGGGGCGATGAAAATGTGCTGGAATTAGACGGTGGTAGTTGCTGCACAACTTTGTGATTGTACCCCAGACCACTGAATTGGGCACTTCAGTGGGTGAATTGTATGGTCTGTGAATTGTATGGTCAGCATAAAAAGACTCCAGTTATCGCCTTGTCATTAAAAAAAAAAAAAATCAGCCCTCATGAGGCAAATATTTCCTGCCTCCCGATCCCTGTCTTCCCTAGGCCAGCGGTCGGCAAACTGCGGCTCTGTTGACTAATGAGTTTGCCGACCACTGCCTTAGGCCTTGCACGGCTGTGCAGCCAGCCAGCCTGAGATGACCCCCACCCCCTTTCCTGCTCTTCCCACACATGGCAGGGAAGGTTCCCCCCTCCCCTCCTCCAGTCCTGTTCTCCTTTCTTTTCCCACAGCTGTGACCCTTGGGCGGGTCGTTTTATACAGTGGTCAGTGAGTTTCCTAGCTCTGTTCACGGGACCGGCGCCCCTTACCATGTGCCAGCTTGGGACCCCCACCAGGAGGGGAGGCACAGCCGGGGGTGGCTCTCCTCTCCGAGCTGCCAGGCCACCTGCTGCCCCGGCCTGGGCCTCCTCACCTGAACCAGGTCCAGGGTAGGCGCCTGGCTGAGCAAAGCTCCGGCCTCGGCAGGTCAGCAGCCGAGGAAGCCGGGAACACGGGGAGGCCCAGGTTTCCTCCCCACGGGCCCGGGGGCAAAGGTTGCCCTTGCTGGACAAGGCCGGTTTTGTTGCCTGGTTCCTCCCACGCCTTGTTCACTTGAAGAGGCCCTTGCGGGGTAAATGGTGCTGTTTGACTTGCTTGTTTGCTTGAGGGATTTGTGGGGCTCCCAGCCCTCGGCATGATTTATCTCCGAGGAAATGAGGCTGCCCCGGTGGGGGTGGGGCTGGGAATGGGGGTGCGGCGCCACAGGCAGGGGCCTGGGCCCTCTCCCACATGAGAGCAGCACACAGGTGGTCTGTGCACGCATGTGTGTGTGCATGTGCATGCGTGTGTGTGTGTGTGTGTGTGTGTGTGTGTGTGTGTGTTTGCAGCGTGGCAATGCCATCTCCAGGGTTTCTCAGTCAGAATGCACCACTTCAATGCTCATTTGGGTCAGAAATGTCCATAGCTCCCGGGCAGAAATTGCTGAACTTGGGTGGGGGCCCAGCGTAGAGGGTGTTTTTATGTCGTCGTACTTTCTGCAGCAACACGTGTGTTTGGGTAAGGAAAGGAGAGAACCTCAGACTGCAGTGCAGTGTCCCCCACCCCAGGGACCCCGGGAGCTGACCGACCTCTCTGAACCTAGGGGATACACCCTTGGACACTTTCTGTCCCACTAGCCATGCAGAACTTGTTTTTATTACCATTTTTAAAAAAATCTAAGACTATATCACAGGTCTGCTTATAGTTTCTATAAGTTTGAAACATCCAACAAGGTATTACACAGTTTAGTTGTCAATAACTGATTAGCCCCATCTGCACGTGCTGAGAATGGTTGTCGACTTCCCTGTTACAAATACTTTTTGGGGGGACACACTTACCTACGTCCTTGCGTTCCCTTGTGCACGTGTGATGCAACTGGATTCTTAGGGGTAAAATTGCGGGGTCCAAAGCATTGCTGCTCTCTGTCAGTAGGTTCTGCCAATTTATTTGGGAACTGTATAGGGCCTCAGGAGACTTCTGTCTGCACTTCCTGGCTCTGAGCCCTGCCTTTAAATATACTTGCTTCTCTGGTGATTCATGAAAGTTAGCTTTTCCCAGACATCCCAGGAAAGGGGCTTCACAGCCTCAACGAGAGGCCCAGAGGAGACGTGTTTCTGACCGGGGCAGGGCAGTTGTGTGGGCGCCCTGTGGGAGCCGCTCAGGCTGCGGCTGCAGCCGTTTGGAGAACCCAGACCCGGCTCTGTGCCTCCCGGTGACACTGCTCCCCGCCTGCCAGGCCCCTTCCGCCCTGTCTGGAGGGCAGGCATCCCTAGACGGCCGCCTGCCGAAGACGAGAAGTTCACTGCATTCTCGTTGGGGAATTCTGGGCCCAGTTTCAATTCTCTCATTTGGACTTCCAGTATAGCTTTGGCTGGGAAGTTGAGCATTGGATTGGTGTGTGTGTGTGTGTGTGTGTGTGTGTGTGTCTGTGTGTGCGCATGTGCAACTTCTTACTAAGAACATAATCTACAATAATAAAAGCGTAATATGCCAATTAGACTGGACAGCAAATGATTTTCCAGACGAAGCCAGGCCTCTGAGGACTGAGGCAAGCCTCTGTGGCTGTGAAGGCTGAGCCCCTTGCATGAATTTCGTGCATGGGGCTCTAGTCTAATGCTAAAACGGAAAAAATCCTAGACTAATGGGATTTTTTTTTGAATTCTCTGGAGTTAACTTTGGCCGTGCTTTCCCCAGATTTCTTCAGATGCGTTCGATGACCTTGGCACAGGCATGTGCTAAGGCCTCTTCTGGAGAAAAGCGGAGATGTGTTTGGGGCCCGGGAGCCTCTGAATGTGTGGCTGCTGCTCTGTGGGAAGGGTTGTTCTGCAGGGCTCCGGGCTGGCTGGGAGCCAGAGGTTAGATGTTGGGGAAGGTCGGTTTCCACTCACCATAGGCAAGACCTCCAGGCAGGCCTCTCCTGCAGTTCCCACTGGTGGGATAGCCGGAGTCCTGGCCCAAATAGCACAGGTTGTCGGCCCGATTCCCCCGGTCCCCCAGTTCCTGGATCCCACATGTGATCACAGTGGAGTAAGCCTCAGAGGGGATCCCTGGGCACTGGTGAGCTCTGGGATTTTCCCTGATCAGCCTCGTCTCACTGGGACCTGGTGACCCACCTGCCCTGTTGGTTTCTGGGTCGCCATGCAACGAGGTCCAAGCTCCTCCTGGTTAGGGCATTTGGGGGGCTTTTCCCCATGAAGAAAGGTCAGGCCAAGGTGTAGATCGAGAATCCTGTTTGTGTCATTTCGAGGCTGCCTTTAAAATTTGTTTTTAATGAAGCTTGAAAGATGGGACTGCAGGAGAGCATTTGTCTGGTTTGCGCAGGGCTGCCACCTTGTGGGAACTCCGAGAATGGCAGCAGTGCCTTTGTTCTGTAGAAACCACTTGACTCCTTTGGAGACCTTGGGGCTATTTAGAGTAAAACATCTAAAATGACTTAAATATGTATTGCTTTCAGAGAAGAAGGAAGAGGGAGAGATAGCTAGAAACATCATTGATGAGAGGGAGTCATTGATCGGCTGCCTCCTGTGTGCCCCCTATTAGGCGTTGAGCCTAGCCTGAAGCCCGGGCATGTGCCCTGACTGGGAATCGAACTGGTGACCTCTGAGTCCTTGGGTCAATGCTCAACCACTGGCCCACTCAGCTTGGCAAAATAATTTTTAATTGAAACATTCAAGGTACTGCCACAGTCAGGGCAATCCGTGACTATACATAACACTACCGACACGTGCACTTAAAAATGTGCAGAAACTGTTAAGACAGTTTTATCACAATTAAAAACTAAAGGAACAATCTGACAGTATGAAGTCTCGGTGAGGATGTGTTGAGGACGGGGACTCTCGGAACTCTGCCCACAGCTGGTAGGTCCTGCGTTGGCGGACAACGTGATGCTGTCCAGAAGGCGTGAAAAAGGCCACGTCCTGATACCCAATACGGAACTGCTGCTAGAGGAACCCCTCAGGTGTGGGAGAGCAGACGTATGCAGCGGTGTTCACGGCAGTATCGTTATAACAGCCTAAACCCCCACAGACCCCGCCTCCCCCCAAATAAACCGAGACAACGTGAATGTTCACCAGACAGAAGCGGGAGAGCGTGGCCTCACACAGTGAGGTGCTGCGGACGCCACTCCACGCAGTCTCAGAGGCGCGTCCAGTGAAGGAAGCGCACACGGTGCCCCTGGAGGAGCACAGATGACGCTGTGCCCACGTGAAGAGGGTCCGCTGCATGTTCAGGGGAGCGATTCCTGGGGAGGGGAGGGCGATGGGGTGAGCAGGGTGCCTTGGGGGCTTTAGCAGTATCAGCAAGACTGTATTTCTTTGAAAATCACTTTGATATCACGAGATGTTGAGATTAGAGCTAAGTGGTGGGTGCTTAGAATTTTGTTCTTCATTTGCTGTGCTTTCTGTATGTTTGGAAGAGACTCACCGGTTGTTTTAAGAATGGGCTTTAGCGGGTGGAGTGGTTTTCCGGCTGTTTCTCCGTGTGGGTCCTTCTGCACAGTGAGCCATTCGTGCAGAACAGTGGAGGTTTTCACTGGCGGGAAACCTCTTAGGAGGAGCTTTGTATTTTGGTGTCCTTGTAAGATTGCCTTTGAAGGAAAGAGCCTCCCTTCCTTCCTTCCTTCCTTCCTTCCTTCCTTCCTTCCTTCCTTCCTTCCTTCCTTCCTTCCTTCCTAAAAAAAGGAAAAAGAGCAGAAACTGGTTTGGTTCAGTGGATAGAGCGTTGGCCTGCAGACTGAAAGGTCTGGTCAAGGGCCTGTACCTTGGTTGTGGGCATATCCCTAGTAGGGGGTATGCAGGAGACAGCTGATCTGTGTTTCTCTCTCATCGATGTTTCTAACTCTCTAATACTCTTTCTTCCTCTCTTTAAAAAATCAATAAAATATATTAAAAAAAAAAAAAAAGGAAAAAGACTAAAAGCCCCGAGTGAGCTGATTCCTGAGGCTCCCTTCCTCTGCGTCAGTCTGCAGTCCCAGAGCCGATGCTGTGTGTCTCAGGGACACGCTCCTGTTCTGGCCTCTGTGGTTCTGGCCGCTCATGAACCCCTCCTGGGCATTTCGTGCGAATTCATGGAGGGCTGGCCCCGCCCAGGGAGCTTGGAGATGTCGCAGGTTCTGTTCCAGGTCACCGCAATGCCGCGAGCCCTGTCTCTCTGCCGGCCGGGTGCTGCCTTCAGTTTGTCAGAGAACACACCACCAAGAACACACCATCACGGCTGCAGTAGGAGGAGTCTGCCTGTGTGCAGCAGCTCCAGCTTCTGGCTCTCTGGCCACCGCGATCTGATAACCCGGGGTCCAGGCTGAAGGACCAGGCGATGCCTGGACTGGAGCTGGCACGGTTAGGCAGGCTGTTCTGGTTCAGTCCTCTCATGGAGGAGTAAGGAAACCGAAAGCCGGGAGGTGGGTGATGTGCCAACACCAGCAGCTCCCCCACCGACCTCTGCAGGCCCCTGACAGCCTCCTGAGTCATCTTGTTTTCCTTCTCTAGAACAGTGCCCCGAGCAAACCTGCAATGGCTCTCTTGCTTAAAGCTCTCCCAGGGTTCCCTCTCCCTCAGGACACAGTTTTGGCTGTGAGCCTTGAAGCCGGGCGGCCTGTCAGGCTCCTTCTGAACCCACTGCTCCCGTGCAAGGCTCCCCTCGCTCGGCCCTGCCCTTCCCTTTGTGCCTGGCACACGCTGGGTGGTCCTGCTGCAGGGCCCTGGCGCTGCTCAGCCAGCGGCTCTGGGCTGCTGCGGCACATTTGCATCACGTTCTTGAATGACCTCCTCAGGCCTTAGCCTCTCCCACACCTGCTCCAAAGGTCTCTCTTGCTCATTAGCCTCCTTCATTTGTTATTTTCTTGATGGTTCTTATTATGCCAGGAAGTTACTTTATTTGGTCTCATTCTCTTACTTTCTATCTACCTACTTTTATGTCTGTCTGTCCATTTGTGCATTCATATTCTCCTCTAGGACTAGAGGGACACCAGCCACAGTTGTCTGACCTATCTGGCATCACCAGCATCTGGAACATGTCAGGTGTGGGTTCTCAGACCTGCTGATCCCCAGGTGTGATTGTCTAGGACACATGTGTCAAACACAAGGCCCGCGGGCCAAATCCGTCCCGCCAGGCCTTGCAATGTGGCCCGCACCACGCTGTCATCACTGCACTCCGCTGCGTTTCCATCACAATGACAGTTTATGACTGTTCAGTAAACCATTCGGCCCGCGATTTAGGCTGGATTTTAGATTTTGGCCCCTTCTCTGATTGAGTTCGACACCCCTAGTCTAGGAGGACTCAGCATATAATCCTACTCACGGCTAACGTTCATTCCAGTGGAAGCACACAAAGCAAAATCAGCAAAGGGAGAGGTGTGTGGGGCGAAGTCCAGTGGACACCAGTGCAGGTCCCAGCACACGCTCGGGGCCAGCACAGGTGGAGTGGTGTTAGGGAGCTCCTGGGGGCTGGCCCCGGAGGCACTGCTGCCTGCATGTGCTGAGACATCAGACTCCCAGAGAAAGCAGGAGCTCAGCCTGAGCCACGCTGTTCACCTGCGCCAGGCACTGGGAGTCCCTCTTCTCACCCCGGGAAAGTCTGTATCAGTGTAGGGAACTCTTTGCCACCCGGGTTCCCGGGCACCAGCCAGGGTGGACCTGCAGGCAGCCCTTCTAAGGAGGGAAGTGGAGCCTGCTGGGAGCTCCCTTCAGCACACTATTTACCAAATGCTTACGAACGAATGAGTCATCCAGGGTGACTGCAGGGCCATGGAGTCACCTGAGACCATCCCGGGGCCTCCCCTCCCTGGTCAGCAGTTCTACCCCCAGCAGCACCGCGAGGTGAGAGTGCTCAGCACCAGAGCGAAGGCTCTGAAAGGTCCTGCGTTGCAGACACCTGTCTGTGTGCAACCCGGCAATTCCGGAGTCTTCCTCCTGTCAGTCTGTCCTTCCTCCACCGCCCCCCCCCCCCCCCCCCCGACCCCCGGTGAGTGTGACTCTCTGGTCTCAGGTGTTGAAGCACAACGGGTCGTCAGAAATCCTCAGCAAGCTGTACGACACGGCCATGGACAAGCTGGAGGTGGTCAAAAAGGACTATGACGCCCTGCGCAAGAGGTACAGCGAGAAGGTGGCCATCCACAACTCGGACCTGAGCCGCCTGGAGCAGCTGGAGGAGGAGAACCAGCGCCTGCTGAAGCAGACGGACATGCTGACCCAGCAGAGGGACACGGCCATCCAGCTGCAGCACCAGTGCGCCCTCTCCCTGCGGAGGTAGGAGCGAGGCCCCGAGGCGGGAGAGCGGGCCCTGAGGGGGGAGAACGGCCCAAGGGCTAGGCGCACCTTCTTCGCTCTGGGGCCCTGGCCTCTGTGGGCGAGTAGTTCCCTATGAGGCTCCCAGAGGCGTCCGGAGAGTGAGAGCAGCACAGCCATCGTGCTTTTCCAATCAGAAAGTGCTCATCTCCAGGAAACGTTTTCTTGACACTCAGTGTGTCTTGGGAGAAGTTCTTCCTCTCTTGAACAACTTTGGGGTGTTCTGACCGTCTCATTTCCTAGGGCTCCCACAAGCCTCTTCCCTCTGTCAGTCACTTGCCTACCTAATTGCAAAGTTAATTGTCCGAGGCATCAATTCTTCCAGAATTTTTTTTTTAAGTAAGGTATCTCATCCATAGGGAATTGAGCCCTGGTCTCAAACAGTATCCTGTGAAGTACATTTCTGCAGAATCCCTGTTCCCCGGAGTGCTCATTGCTTTCTTAGGGAAAGTGTTGTCTGGATAGAAACGGTTTTGGAATTGCCAAGTTCCATACAGACACGGGTGTCTGCAATGCGGGGCTTCTCAGAGCGTTCTTGCTGGTCCTGAGCACTAGACAGAATGCAGTATTTTCCAAACATAAGTCACCCAAGAACATCTTTTTTCCCTTCTTTTTAATGAGCACTACATGGGATGGGTGTTCTCAGAACACACTTTCGGAAATGCCACTCTAGATCCGCAGGCTTTTAACTTGCAGGGTTGCCTGGCTTGGAAGGGCTGAGCTCTGCCCTCACACTAACCTGGAGCCTCTGGGCCAGCCCCCTCCATCTCCTTATTGTCTGTATTTGTAAAGGAGGTGGTGGGATGAAATGACTGATAGACCACTTTTATCTCTCATATGCTGTGATTCCAGCATTAAAATAATGTCGCTGACTGTGGGAGACATTTGCTGCTGTTCCCAGTAGAGCAGGGACATGAAGTCCTCAGTTCAACTTTCGGTTTTAGTAACAGGCTAAGAAACATTCCCGGGCCCGGGCACTGCTGCTCCGTGACTTCCCTCCTGGGGGTGCGGAGAGTGACCTCACTCAGAACTTCATGCTTGACTGTCCTGCAACAACAGAGCTGACCGGGCAGGTCTCCGCCCCCTCTCCCCCAACCCCCATGTCCTGGCTGCCTTTCTCCCCAGGTTCGAGGCGATCCACCATGAGCTGAACAAGGCCACGGCCCAGAACAAGGACCTGCAGTGGGAGATGGAGCTGCTGCAGTCGGAGCTGACGGAGATGAGGAGCACGCAGGCGAAGACCGCCAAGGAGTCGGAGAAGTACAAGGAGGAGCGGGACGCGGTGTACAGCGAGTACAAGCTCATCATGAGCGAGCGCGACCAGGTCATCTCCGAGCTGGACAAGCTGCAGACCGAAGTGGAGCTGGCCGAGTCCAAGCTCAAGAGCAGCACGTCGGAGAAGAAGGCAGCCAGCGAGGAGATGGAGGCCCTGCGGCAGGTAGGTGGCTGGGCGCCGGCCTCCCGGACTCTGGGACGGCGGCGAGGGAGGAAGGGCCGCGGCGCGCACGGTGTCCAGCTAGCAGCCAGCTAGCAGAAGCTCAGAGCAAAGAGCTTCTCCTCTTAGGCCTGCGTGCTGGCTGGGTCACGGGCGCTGCCCAGGAAGTGGCTGCACTTGCTGTACTTAGTCCCTGGCTCTAGTCTGTGCTACAGGGATGCCAGGGGAGGTCCGGCCATGGCCCCAGCCTCCACCCCTCCCAGTGTAGGAAGCAAGTCAGGTGACATGGCCAGACACGCGTGTGTCCCATGCACAGACACTCATCATGGGCCAGTCTTGTGCTGAAGGCCAGCAGGTATCTCGAAGAGTAGTTGCTCGTGAAGAAGGAAGTTCCCAAGGCCAACTTTCCAAAGCCGTGGATGCCTTTGGCCTCGTGAGCCAGAAGAGCACCCTCAGGGCTCCTTTCTCCTGGCATCAGAGGGGTCTGCTCATTTGGGGGCAGCGGCGCCTGCTGGGAAGATGGTCTAAGAGGCTGTGCCAGAGGCCCTTCTGCAGTCTTGCTTCCTGGGGGACAGGCCTCCGGGATTGGGGCCCGGGGCTCGCCAGCATTAGAGTGAGACCACTCAGCCTGAGTGCTGAGGGATGAGTCCGTGTGGACCCTTTTCATCCTGCCTTCTGGCCCCGCGGCTTCATCGCTGACACCCCTCACCCCAAGTGTGGATGTGTCCTGCCCGCTTCCTGATTTGAGGTTCCTTTCCCATCCTGCGGGTGGGTCAGTGAGTGGTTCTGTTTAGACCTGCTGAACTTGACCATAGCAGACTTTCTCCCGTGGGAATGCCTCTCCATTCTACTTTCCTGTCTAGTGTATTGAAGCTTGGGAGCATTGGTAGGAGATGGCGGACATTGGGTTGTGGGATCCAGAGCCCCTGGACCCAGCGCGAGGCAGGGCTGATGCCTGAGGCGTGGCCAGGGCCCTGTGAGGCTTTCTGTGAGCAGAGGCATCTCCTGATGCCCAGGCAGTGCGGGGGCCATGGATGCCAGGGGCACAGGCCCTGTGCTTGGAGTGGGCCTTCTCAGTCATGTGACCTCTTCTATTTCGTGGCCTCAGTTTCCTCCTCTGCAAAATGGGAATGATAATGGATAGTGTCTACCTCAGGGGGCTGTGACAAGCACATGACTTAACATTGAAAACGTACTTAGATCAGTGCCCGCACGAAGCAGGAATGATTTGAACCTTTACTATTAAGATGATTATTAGCTACTCTGTCAGGAACCCCATGAAAGTGCCCTGGAGGCAAAAATGGGGCAACTAATGGCAATTTCACATCAAGGGAGTGAGACGGTTTCTAAACCGTCGAGGTGAAAGCCGTTGTGAAAAGGAGGGTTTACTTCGATGAGTTTTTTTTTAAAAGGATGAAGGAATTTCTAATGAGCAAATAGAATGTACTAGAACATGGTAATTGTCCTGGAAAAATTATCAACTCCTGGTTTTCACACTCCAGCATCTGAGAATGTAATGGTTGGGGAAAATGTTGTTATCAAACAAGGAAAACAAAGTGATGAAGAGGATGTCTTCGGAGATGACTGAGCCAGTCAGTCACTGCACCAGAAAGTCAAGGCTGACGTAGGAGACACATTAGAGATGAGCCTGGAAGAGGACATAGCCACACGGAGGGGCTTTGACACGAGGAGGGTAACCGTTTCCTGTGCAGGAATGTGGGAAGCACCGAGAAGTAGGAAGAGTCGCCGATTTCCGAGTGCCAGCATCTGGTGGTAGCCCGTCCCCCCACTGCGTGCCCTCCAGCCCGGAGCCCGGCTCCGGCTTCGCAGGGGGCATTGGCTGGGTGTCAAGTCTGCCTGTCAGCTGAGGCAGGAATCTTTTCCAGGCACCGATCCAGCCAGCAGGCAGGAGAGCCTCCGCCCCCACTCCCACCGGCAGGTTCCACAGCTGAAGCCCTCGATTCCTCCTCTGCTCTGTGTGGCTTCTCTGAGACCACGTCCCGCTCCCCCAAGTGGGCCGGGCCAGGTCTGTGGCTGGGCCATTTTGGCCCTAAGATGTGGATGGGTGGGAGGCTCTTAATCTCCCCAGGGCCTGACGGGACCCCAGACCTGCCGGTGTGGGCTCTGCCCCAGGCCTTTCTCCTTGGCCTTAGGTTGAGGTGGGGTGAGTGTCCTGTGAAAGCCAGCCGTCCCTTCCTTAGCCTGTCGCCCCAAGGTCACCGGGGTGGCCAGAGGACACCATGCGTGTGGTACGTGTGCAGGGTGAGATCGGCATGCTGTGGAGGAAGAAGCACAGGGGCAAGAATCTCGGGGACCTGGGGTGTGGGCTCAGCTCCCCCAGATGGAGCAGTCACTTCCTGGAACCCTGAGATTCCTCATTGGTGTAATCGGGGCTCAGACAAGGGACCTCAGCTCCCATTCTGTTGCCCTTTTAAAGATCCCTATTCCTTCTCTCACCTCAATAAAACCAGGTATTGTGCTTCCGGTGTTTCGCAGAAGGAATCAGTGTTTTGGAGGTGTTATCATTTTGGAGACTAACAAGGATAGCCCCAGCAGAAGGAAGGGGAGATGGGGGAGAAGTGAGGAGAATAGGTGCTGCCTGATTCCCTGGCATTGGTCTCTCTGCCTCTACCTCCAGCCTTCAGCTTGAGATGCTTATCCAGGGCCAAAAAGAAAGACCTTTCACTGAAACCACATGTTAACACGTTTCAAATAGTAAACTATGTTAATATAAAACACTGAGTAAAATATAAATTTAAGAAAAAACATTATTAGACCTAAAACACATTACAATAAATTCATGCTAGAGTTAATAAAAAAAAAAAAAGATTTTTTTTTTAAATATATCAAACTAAACAAGTACTCAGCACTTGCATAAAAGTGGGGGAAATAAAAACGGAAATCATCTGGCATGACTTGATCCTGGGGAGTGTCTCAGCAGAGCGTGACCTGTCACTCTCTTGAGTTAAGGTGTTATTCTTGTGTAACTCCCCCCCACCCCGGGCTCCTCCTGACTCTGGACGTGAGAGACGAGGGGGAGTTAGAAGCCGACTGCACGCATTTCCCTCTGTCTCCGTCATCCTTGTCTCTTGGCTGACCTGGCGAGGTCTCCAGGGGTGTTTTCCTCGTTGGCGTGTTGCTGTCTACTGTGGGCCGGGGAAGCCTCATGTGTGCTCGTCTTCCTCACACTTGTCGCTCTGAGGCGCAGAGTCCAGGTGGAGATGCAGGGTCTGCTCCTCTCGGTCTTGTTTGTGTTTTGCCCGTGAGCAGGAGGCCTGGGAGCGAGAGTAGGAGCAGACACTTGCTTTATCGCTTCCCCGTGTTTTCTAAGGATCAGAGGCACAGGGAGCTTGCTGTATGAGCTCTTTGAAGGGATTTGAATTTTAACGGAGTATGTAACGCTCTGGGGAGGCGTCAAGACGCAAGTGCTTCCGATTTCAGCTTTTAAATCGAACTGAGATGCACAGGCCCTCACCAGCACAACTGCTGCCTGTTCGGATGGGAGAGGAACCCAGGATGTCAGGGTGCAAAAACCAGCACACAGAAACAGTGCTGCGGCCAGAGTCGGACATGACCCTGACCAGAACCTCCACCCTTCACTGCAGTTGGGCCTTGCTTCTTTATGTTTTGTCACAGGAGCACTTTGTTTTTTATTTTTGTTAAAATTTTTTTTGTATGTATGTATGTATATATGTATTTCAGAGAGGAAGGGAGAGAGAAAGATCAATGATGGGAGTGAATCATTGATCAGCTGCCTCCTGCACGCCCTCACGGGGGATGGAGCCTGCAACCCAGGCATGTGTCCTGATCAGGAATCGAACTGTGACTTCCTGGTTCCTAGGTTGATGCTCAAACAGTGAGCCTCCCGGGCGGGGCTCACAGGGGCACTGAGAGCCACGTGGTGGCTCCCTGTGAGATACAAGCCCGTAAGTGGCAGGGTGGAGCCTGGAGCGAGCCCTCCAGGGGAGATGGTCCCTGAGCCACTTATTCTTGGCTGAGAGAGACAGGGGTTCGAGTTCAGGCATTGTGCAGAGTGGTGAGAGTTTGGACTTAGACTAATGTTACTAGGGTCAGAGCATGGCTGGGGTGCAAGGTCACTGGGAGATGGGGGTACAGCAGGGGGGTGTATGGATGGGACCCCAATATCCCCCTCCATCCGGCTCCCGGGAGTTCAGCCCTGCCCCAGCCCCCGTCAGTCGGATGGTACTTCTGAGCCAGATGCCCAGTACCCTCCTCCTCTGCCGGCCCCTCGTCCCCACCAGATCAAAGACACAGTGGCCATCGACGCCGGGAGAGCCAACAAGGAGGCAGAGACCCTGCGGAAGCAGTGCAAGGCTCTGTGCCAGGAGCTGAAGGAAGCCCTCCAAGAGGCGGACGTGGCCAAGTGCCGGCGGGACTGGGCCTTCCAGGAGCGGGACAAGATCGTGGCCGAGCGGGACAGTATCCGGTACGGTGCCCTGGGCGGTGTGGGCTCAGGCCCCCCTGGCACACTGGGTCTGTGGGGGGGCGGGGGGAGGGGCGCAGTCACTCGCCACGGGTCCAGGGAAGGTGAGAGTGGCTGGGCTCTTCCCTTCTCACCCCGGGCGACGCCCCACTCGCCTCAGAGCATTAGCATGTCCACGTGTCTCTGCTCGATTGCACTTCGCCCCAGACCCCGTCCCAGTGCACTGAGACCCTGCGGGGTGGCCCGAGACCAGGCTGGTTTCTCGGGGGGCTGCTGATGACACAGTCAGAACTGCGTTCTCCCAGGAAATATTAATGGGCACCTACTATGAGCCAGGATCTTAGTCCCTTGAGTGAGGAGATCCTGGGAGACAGCTCAGAGCTCCCAGGTGGGGTGATGCCTGTGGGCGCCACGGGCAGCTCTGCCAGCCAGGGCACAGGGGAAGGAGGATGCGTGAACGGAATCCAGGGCCCTGAGGGGGCAGCAGGGCACTGGGCAGGGGGAGCAGATGGGGAGGTTTCCCCAGAAAGCACGGAATCCGAGCGAGAATGCAAGCATGAGTGGGATTTTCCCACAGGGGACGGGCTTTGTGGCCTGAGCGACCATCATCAGCAAAGGTGTAATGATGAGGCAGGAGGGACGTGGGTATGACTGAGCAGGTCTCGCCCTTCGTGTTGGAGCAGGCAGCTGACAGTGTCCTGGGGGCAGTTGTAAGGGCTTAAAAAGAGGTGGGAGTGGGTTCCGGTGGAGGGAGCGCCAGGAGAGGCTGGGGTGGGGTGTTGGTAATGACTGTCATTGAGAGTTTTGGAAAGACCCCTGGTGGCCTTTTGAAGGAGAGGCTGATGTCCATGCAGGCTGGCCAGGCGGTGAGGGTTCAGGGTTGGAGACTTGGGGCCATGGAGGGGGTTCCAGATCTCAGGATCCTTCCATTGGCAGGTGTGATGCCAGAGGTGGCTCAGAGCAAAGACTCCCTGTTTCCACACCGCCTGTCCTCGCTTCCTCTCTGAGGAGCCGAGCCAGTCCTGAGGTCCTGGCGGCCACATGTCCGTTAGCGGAGCTGTCCCGCCTGCACCTGCGCAGAGCTGTCTGGCCGTGGGGTGGGGGCAGCTCTGAGAGGCCTCTTGTGGGTTGTTGGGCATCTGGTCGGTGCTGGGCACAGGGCCTGCTTGGTGGGTTGGGGGAGGGTAGTGGAACCCAGTGCTTGTTGCCGAATAACTGGGGTAGGGGGGGTCTCTTCTCCGGGGTCCTCATGTCGCCTCTGCCCCTCCGTGGGGCTGGCCTTTGATGGCCCCACTCCAAACTCTCAAACATTCCTGTGCCTCTGGGGTGAGGCAGGCGCCTGGGTGTTCACCTCAGGCCGTGGGTCCTGCATCCCTTATCCCTAATGCTGACCTTACCCCGTGCCCTCTGCCAGGACGCTCTGCGACAACCTGAGGCGGGAGCGGGACCGGGCTGTGACTGAGCTGGCAGAGGCCCTGCGCAGCCTGGACGACACTCGCAAGCAGAAGAACGACGTCAGCCGGGAGCTCAAGGAGCTCAAGTACGCGGGGGCGGGCGCCTGCCCGGGCTGCGTGTGTACCTGGGGGTGACGTGCCCACCCTCCGCTCAGGGCAGGGCCTGGCCATCTGTTCCTTCTCTCTGCCTTACTCTGTCAATCTGTAGAATGGGTTCAAATGCTGCCTCCACGTGCAGTGTTAATTAGAAATTCTTAGACCAGCCGAGAAGGTGGCAGTGGCCCTTTGGTGAGGACATGGAAGTGTGCGCTGTGAGCAAAAGCGTATGGGAAGGAAGGGGCTGCTCCAGGGCAGCCCAGCCGGGCACAGGCGAGCATGAATAGTTTATTCCCTCCCTCTTTCATCAGCTGAACCCGCTCTGGGTCAGGCCTGTGGGGCTCACAGCACACAGAAGGAGATGGACCACAGGCAGGCCCATCAGAGAGACAAGTACAAAGGAACACAGTGATGACGGTGGTGGTGGTGGTGGTTTGCAGGCGATTGTGACCACCACTCACAGTCTGTTCGCTGTGTTACTCGATGCCCATCTGGAGGAGACTGTTTGGAATGGAAGATTACCTCCCTCTGTGACAGCAGAGCTCCCAGGGTGTTGTTTAAGGCTTGGTGACGCTAAGCAATAGATTGAAAATACAAATATCAAAGTTTAACAAGAGAAATTGCAGCCCTAACCGGTTTGGGTCAGTGGCTTGTGGACTGAAAGGTCTCAGGTTTGATCTCAGTCAAGGGCATGTATCTTGGTTGTGGGCACATCCCCAGTAGGAGGTGTGCAGGAGGCAGCTGGTCGATGTTTCTCTCCCATCGATGTTTCTAGCTCTCTATCCCTCTCCCTTCCTCTCTGTAAAAAAAAAAAAAAAAATAATAAAATATATTGGTGTCCGGGGGGGGGGGGGGGGGGGAGAGAGAGAGAGAGAGAGAGAGAGAGAGAGAGAGAGAGAGAGAAAGAAAGAAAGAAAGAGAAAGAGAGAGAGATTGCAGAGCCCAGGAGCCGTCACGGCAGCCCAGGATCAGATTCTGGTTGAGGAGCAGTGGCTCGGTCTGTGCCAGGAGCTTCCCAGGGATGGAGGCGAGAGGCAGGGGCATGGGAGTGTGCCAGCCCTGCTCGCTGACCTGTGCCCTTCTGCAGGGCGTGCAGCTTCCCCTTCCCATCAGTGACATCTAACAAGACGAGCACTTCATTCATTAGATAGAAACCTGGAACTCTGGGCCCTGAGTGCTCTAAGGAAAACCTCAGAGGTTGCAAAGCGACAGTCTCTCCAGGGACTAGCAAGTGATGGAATCGAATTAAGGTGCAGCCTAGACCCCCTGGGGCTTCAATGCAGGAGGAGGTTTCCATTTTCCTGGTGCCAGGTTGCCTGGACCATCTGAAGAAGTCAGCCTCCTTTGCTTGTTCAGCATGTTTGTAGTTGCACTTCCTTTCCTCTGATTCTCTCACCGGGGTGCTGGTGATAGGGTTCTAGCTGCTGCACAGGAAGCCCCCAGCCTGCAGGAGCAGCAGGTGCCCAGTGGGAGTGGGGAGAGGAGTGCAGTCACATCCAGTGCCCGGTTTCAGGCTGCACAGCGGTGGGCTGGGCTGGGGCGTGGCCAGTGAAGGCTGAGTGACATTCTAGAGCTGGCCAATGAGAGCACAGCCCAGCCAAGGTGTGGACCAGGAGCTGTTCACCAGGGCAGGAAACAAAGACGGGTCCAGAGTCAGCCAGGAACTCCCCCGGACAGGGCCAGTGAACTGGGAAGGTGGTCTGGGCCTAGGTTTTAGGAAGAAGGGCATTATATGCAAGTGATAGGACAAGGTTTCTGACTCCTTTTTTCCCTCTTACCTGGATCTTTCTGAGAGCTTAAGTTTTTATTTTGATCAAGTCCAATTTATTGATTAAATTTTTTATTTTTATTTTCAATGGATTATGTTATATCTAAGAACCCTTAACCTAGTTTTAGATCTTGAAGATTTTCCTTTTGTACTTTTCTTCTAAAAGTTTTATAGTTTATTTAAATAAAGAGAGGAAGGGAGAGGGAGAGGGAGATGGGAACATCAGTGATAAGAATCATTGATCGGCTACCTCCTGCATGCCCTCTAGTGGGAATTGAGCCCACAACCTGGACATGTGCCCTGACTGGTAAACAGTCTGTGGCCTCCTGAGCCACACTAGCCTGGCTATAATTTATTTTTTTACCTATAAATCTGTGATGCATTTTGAGTTAATTTTTAAGTAAAGTATGGTGTTCAGGTTGAGATTCTTTTTTTTTTTTTTCTTCTATGATGTTCAGTGGCTCCATCATTAGTTGAAGGCTCTCCTTCCTCTGTTCCCTTACGACTGCACCTTTGGTACTTGGTGGTGCTGTTTCTGGATCCTGCCTTCTGTTTCATTGATCTGGTGCCTCTCTTCCTGGCGGTACCCCTCAGCCTTAAATATGTAGCTGTAGAAAAACTCTTAAATTGGAGTAGAGCGGTTTTTCTCACCTAATTCTTCATTTTCTAAATGAGTTTAGCTGCTCCGCTTTTTTTGCCTTTCCCTATAAACGTTAGAGTTGTCTTGTCTGTACCTATGAAAATGTCTTGCTGGCATTTTCATAGAACTGCATGAAACTTCTAGATAAATGTGAGAAGAATTTCTGAGTCTTTTTTTTTTTTAAATAATTTATCTTTTAAAAAACATATATATTTTATTGATTTTTTCTACAGAGAGGAAGAGAGAGGGATAGAGAGTTAGAAACATCGATGAGAGAGAATCATTGACCAGCTGCCTCCTGCACACCTGCCACTGGGGATGTGCCCACAACCAAGGCACATGCCTTTGACTGGAATCGAACCTGGGACCTTTCAGTCCGCAGACCTACGCTCTATCCACTGAGCCAAACTGGTCTCGGCAAATTTCTGAATCTTTCAAAAAAAAGTATAAAACCCATTGAAATCCAAGAAGCCTGGGCCTGGCGTTGAGGTTTGTTGGGCAGCTGGCGTGAAGGACGAGATGATAGCCCATTGGTGGTCCCTGGTTTCCAAGCTGTGACTTGGAGGGCTGTTTGGCCTCTCACAGGGCTGTGGCCATGGTTTCCTGTCTTTGCAGGGAGCAGATGGAATCCCAGCTGGAAAAGGAGGCCCGATTCCGGCAGCTGATGGCCCACAGCTCCCACGACTCGGCCATCGACACGGATTCCATGGAGTGGGAGACAGAAGTTGTGGAGTTTGAAAGGGAGACGGTGAGCTTCCTTCATGTCTTTTCTGCCCGTTCTCCTGACAGGAAGACTTGGGATGCCCTCTCGCAGTGTCCCCAGTGTCCCAATGGCTAGTTCGGAGGTTCAGCTTTTCCTCCTGGGGCGCACATGCATCCTTCCCTGCACTTGCTTCAGTTGGGTCACAGCAGATGGTTCCTGAGTTGCGTGGCGGATGCTGACACGGCACACAGAACAGAGAGGGAGGAGCAGGGCCCCCAGGGGTAATGCTGGTGGCGATGTGTGTCTGAGTAGCTGAGAGGGGTGGGTGGTAGCAGCTCAGAGGCGCTGCTGGGGGCCTGAATGCCCTGTCAATCATGGCGAAGGTGCACTCCCACAGTGGAGGGAGTGGCTTGGGGTTTATGGCCACGTGTTTCTCATCATTGCTTTGTAAAGTGTGCGGCTGCTGCTGCTGTCTCGACAGGAGGACGTTGACTTGAAGGCACTGGGGTTCGATATGGCGGAAGGTGTGAACGAGCCGTGTTTGCCCGGGGACTGCGGCATATTTGTCACTAAGGTGGACAAAGGGAGCATTGCAGACGGCCGCTTACGGTAAGAGTTGAGGAAGCCCAAGTTCTGAGGGAAGTTGGGGAGGGTGAGGCCCTCCTGGCTTAGTGGAAGGCCCCACAGAGCCAGGTGGCAGTTAAATTAATGCACCCCGATTGCGTTTCTGGGTAGAAAAGGGCTCATGCCATGTGTGAGAGCGTATGATGTGCATTGCATGCTCATTCCATGAAATACCAATGATGAGAAAATAGTGCTGACTGCTCATTGCTGGTTTAAGTATCCTATATAATAAAAGACTAATATGCAAATCTACTGAACGGTGGAACCACGGGTTGCTATGACTTGACTGACCACCAGGGGGCAGACACTCAATGCAGGATCTGCCCCCTAGTGGACAGTGCACTCCCACAGGGAGAGCGGCACTCAGCCAGAAGCTGAGCTCACAGCTGGCTAGTGCAGCGGCGATGGTGGGAGCCTCTTCTGTCTCCTCAGCAGCACAAAGGATGTCCAACTGAAAGCTTAAGCTAGTTAGTCAGACATCCCCCAAGGACTCCCAGACTGCTAGAGGGCACAGGCTGAGCTGAGGCCCTGAGTGCACATATTTTGGGCACCGGGCCTCTAGTTTAAAATAATTCAATAATCTCTACAATCCTATGAGGTAGGTGCTACCCCATGGTACAGATGGAGACACTGACGCCGTGAGGGTTAGGTCACTCAGGTGATAGGTGGCGGAGCCAGGCCTTGAACCCAGGCAGTCTAGCTCCAGCACCTGTGAGTTTAACCGTCCGGCCATCCTGGAAGGGGAGCTCTTTCTGAGTGTGTATGTGGGGCACCTGCTTTCTGATGTTCAGCTCCCCAGGTGGGCACAGTTGAGCAGCCCCCCGGCCCCAAGGCCTGCATGGGCACTGAGCGTGCTGCCCTCCGCAGGGTCAATGACTGGCTGCTGAGGATCAACGACGTGGACCTCATCAACAAGGACAAGAAGCAGGCCCTCAAGGCGCTCCTCCACGGGGAGGGGGCCATCAACATGGTCGTGCGGCGGAGGAAGTCCCTGGGCGGCAAGGTGGTCACGCCCCTGCACATCAGCCTGAGTGGACAGAAAGGTAGCGGCCGGTGGCCCGGGCAGGGGCCTCCGATGGCAGGGGCCCCTCCTTGTGTTTCGGGTGCACTGCATTCCAGGGCTGAGGTGCTGATGCTGCTTGAGTGCAGCCCGTGTGCTCCCCACCACGTGGGGCCTCTGGGTCCTGAGTCCTGCTTGTCTGAGGCACTCCCCAGAGCACACGCCCCTGAGCTCATGGGTGGTCTGGCCTGGGGGGCGCTGGGATGGACAGACGCTTTGTAAGAGCGTCTCCCAAAGATGAGGCGGGACAGCCAGGGTCCATCCGGTTGGGTGGGGTTAACTGGGGACGCCTGTGGTTGACAGACAGCGGCATCAGCCTGGAGAATGGCGTGTATGCTGCCGCCGTGGTGCCCGGAAGCCCCGCCGCCAAAGAGGGGTCTCTTGCCGTGGGGGACAGGATCGTGGCGGTAAGTCTCCGGGGTGGGCTGTCCGTCCGCGGCATGTAGAGACAGATCCAAATTTGGGAGGTGTGAACAAGATGTAATGGACACAGTTTTTACATTTGCCTTTTTCTTTAAATGCGAACAGTTAAATGTCTCCCCCCCTCCCCCTTTCTAATAGTATGTTTCTATTTACTGTAGAAAATTCAGAAGTTCAGAAAAGGTTTAGGAAGGAATAGATAACCTTGGTTAACATTTTCACTGTATTTCTCTACAACCTTTATTCTATATGTGAATGCCTAGAGAGGCCAATTTAAAGAAATCAGTTTTTAGAAATCTTTTTTCTTTAATATTTTATCCATTTCTTCTAAAATGTATTTATTTTTATTATCAAAGTAAGACTCTTTTGTGGTAAAATAATCAAGCAATACCGAAGGGTGTGATGTGGTGGTCCCCTCCTCCCTGTGATCTAGCTCCTGAAGCACCTCTGCCCCCTTTTGGAGATGCGCCCCCAGCCAGACCACAGGGCTCATGCCGATCTGTGTGCACAGAGGGGGGCTTTTGGGTTTTGTTTGCTTTTTACGATACGATAATGGAATCATCTCATGTTAGCTGCAGTTTGCCATCGTGGATATCTTTCCAAGTCGATCCTTACTGGTTTTGTCCCCACCTCGTGGTGGTTTAAATTATCCCACAACTGATGGACTTAGGAGTTGTTCTCAGTTGCTGCCATTGCAAATAGCCCTGCATGGACGTCACCTGTGTGCAGCAGCCACCATTGGAAGACGTAGCAGATCCCTGTGACCACACCCACAGTGCCGTGTGGGGTCTGAGTCATAGAGCATGCACGCTTGGTCTTTGTAGTAACTCTTCAAAAGTGAAGGCATGTGTGCGTGAGCATGACACCCCCCCAAATCCAGGCCTGTGACCAGCACAGTGGCAGCAGGATCTCCTCCAGTTCTGGACGCCCCACCCATCAGTTCCCATGGCAACCATGGTTAACAACTCACTATGTTTTCTTTCAGAAATGTTCAAAATATGGGTATCTCTCTCACACACACACACATACACACACAAAACCAGATGGGATCATCGCAGGCCTAGCCGCTAGCCGTGTTTTGTTTGTGACGCATGCCCTGCGCTTCTTCCTTGCCGTGTCGGGGTCCTTGCAGGAGCTGCAGGCTCCTTAGCAGCTGTTAGCTGCGGCCTCGGCGGAAACTTGGGGCGTCTTTGCCTTTACAAGCTGTGCTGCTTGGCACCTACTGCATCCTTCCTTCCACGACCCCATGGCTCCTCCCCACAAACCCCCAGAGAGTGTGGGCTGTCCCTAGGGCAGGGAACTGCTGGTCAGATAAGCATTTAATGTTTGGTATGATCCTCCCTGCACCCCCTCAGGCCCAGGCCTTTCCACCCCACCTGCAGTGTGTGTGGGAGCTCCTTACCTCATGTCTTTGCTGGAGTTTTTCAGATTTGGAGGGCTCCAGACATTAAAAGCAACATGGCCATTGTGGAAAAATTTCAAGATATGGGAAATTTATAAAGAAAAGACAACCAAAGGAATCCACCACTCTAATCCCTCTGCATGTTTTTTTAAACTTTTGGCCTTGAAATAATTATAATTCAGTTAAAATATTTCATAATGAATATTAAAAAAGTAGTATAGGAAGGTTCCTATATACTCTTCACCTAGTTTCCCTAATGGTTATATCTTACATAGCTGTAATATTAAAAGCAGGTAGTTGACAGTACAGTGTGTGTATTTAATTCTATGTCACTTGATCATGTTTAGGTAACCAAAACAAAACAAAAAAAAACAAGACAGAACTGTTCCACCACCACACTCTCCCTCGTGTTACCTGTTACCCCTCTATAGTGACACCCACACCTGCTCCCTCATTCAGAAACCCTGGCAACTAGTTTGCTCTCCATCTCTATACCTCTGTCACCTTGAGAATGGTAGATGAGTAGAATGGTACAGTGTGTGGTTGGCTGTTCTGCCCCGCACGGGGCTGTGTTCCTTCCCACTGCTGGGTGTCATGTTCCCGGTGTGGGTGCAGCCTGGCCTGACTGTTTGCCTGTTGCTCATACACTTCTAAGATTGGAGCACATCCGAGAGGGATGTGGACAGAAGTTCAAGCAGAAGCAGTGGTGGTGTGTCTTTGTGAACAATGGCGAAACTTCATCTCACGTGGTACTTTCTAGTTTACAGAGGCCTTCCGCACCATGGCTGCGTTTTCCAGTCTCCTCCCTGCCCCTGGGGGACTCATGTGACTATCTTTCAATTTGTGCTCGAAGGCATTCTGAACCAGGGTCCAGCCTTACACAGCAGGAAGCTGGCTCTGGCCAGTTGTCCCCGCAACCTTGGTGTCTTGGTCCTAGTCAGACACACATCTTCTTGTAGAATGCTCTCAAGGCTGTGTGGTCCATGGCCACGGAAGCCCCTTACCTGGATTCCTCAGGCCTTATGGGCAGGGCTGTCTCCTCCGCCAGCTGCAGACTTGGGGACCATACAGAACCAGGCCCACTGTCCTGGCTGCGGGCCTGACAGGTTCTCTGTTTGGCCCTAGATCAATGGCATCGCACTGGACAACAAGTCTCTGAATGAGTGTGAGTCTCTGCTGCGCAGCTGCCAGGACTCCCTGACCCTCTCCCTCCTGAAGGTAAGGGTCCCGCCCTTCCGTCCTTGCTCTCGAAGTCCCAGCTCCACTCCTCTGTGTCACTCGGAAAAGGGGTATTGATTTATGAAGTGCAGCGAGTGCATGAACCCTGACCAGAATATGGTTTAAAAACAAAAATTAAAAACTATGAGGGCATTTTGGGGGTAGTGGGGTACATTTGGATCTAGATTGAATAATTAATTGATCCTAAGGAATTGTAGATTTTCATGGGAGCAATGACAGTATTGGGGTCACAGAGGAGAATGACCTTCGTTTTGGGAAGTACGTGATAAAGTTGTTAGGGATGACATATATTGTAACTTTCAGATGTTCTGCAATATTGACAGATATAGGAATATTGTCGAATCTAAATGGTGGGTTTATGAGTATTCATTGTACTTTTCTATCAACTCTTCTACATAATTGAAAAGATTAATAGAAAATTGGAAAAATAGGCCCATCTACTTCATTAAGCCAAGTTTTAAGAATTTATTTTATAATAATAGACTTTTTGGGGAGTAGTTTACGTTTATAGGAAAGGTGAACTAGTGTAGAGAATTCTCATATTTCTCTGCTTCCCCTGTTAGTAACATCTTGCATTAGTGGGGTACATGTGGCACGATGCTAACACACCAAAGTCCACAGTTTACACGAGGACTTACTCTAGGTGCCGTACGTTCTGTGGGTTTAGACAAATGTACACGGACTTGTGTCCCCCACTGCAGTACCACACAGCTGGCTTCACCGTGACGAAGCCACTCCGGGCTGCACCGTCCACCCCTTTCTCTCGTCCTGACCCTGGAGACCATTGATCTTTTCACCGTCTCCATCATTCTGTGTTTTCTAGAATGTCTTCTCGTTGGAAGGTAGCCTTCCCAGATTGGCTTCTTTCACATAATGATACGCATTTAAGTTTCCTACGTTTCTTTTCGCGGCTTGATAGCTCATCTCTTTTATTGCTGAGTGATATTCCATTACGTGAATACTAAAAGAGACGTATTGTTAATAATGAGTCTTCCTTTTACTCAGTCATATTAAAAAGGATGCAGGGCATTCATTATACAGGTGATTTCAGAAAGTGCTCAAAGTCAAGAGCACGTACGGCTCTCCTGTGGGTCCCAGTGAGCAGGGCGGTGAGAAAGCCTCCGGTCAGGGAGAGGGTGTGTGTGTGTGTGTGTGTGTGTGTGTGTGTGATCGTGTATGTGAGATGGATGTGTGTGTGTGTGTGTGTGTGTGTGTGATCGTGTATGTGAGATGGATGTGTATGTGTGTGTATGTGTGTGTGTGTGTGCCTGCTACCCCTCCCCCCATGCACGTACACGTGTCTGCTTTCTGGGGTGTGGGCCCATTTCTGGCCGTTGCTCTACCTGCAGGGGCAGTTTCAGTGGTGACGCCAGGTTCTGTTGTCTTTTTCTCTCTTTCTCATCGCTCCGTGGTCCCTACACATAGGTGTTCCCTCAGAGCACCTCCTGGAGTGGCCAGAACATCTTCGAAAACATCAAGGACTCGGATAAGATGCTGAGTTTCCGAGCCCACGGCCCGGAGGTCCAGGCTCAGAATAAGCGGAACCTGATGCAGCACAACAACTCCACGCAGACGGACATCTTCTGCACCGACAGGCCGGACGACAGGAAGGAGCCAGGCCCCCCTGGCGGCGGCAGCTCCTTCCTGCACAAGCCGTTCCCGGGGGGGCCCTTCCCAGCCACCCCCCACACGTGTCCCAGCGCCTCCGATCGCAGCCTGAGCTCCTTCCGCTCAGATGCCTCCGGGGAGCGCGGCTACGGGCTGGGGGACGTGTGTGCCCGGCGGCCACTGCTGCCCTTCGAGTCGGAAGCTGGCTCCTGCGGGGCCACGGAGGCTCCCCCGGACAAGGCCGAGCCCGAGGGCGCCCACAGCGGCGGGACCTGGCCCAAGGCCGTGCTCAGCTCTGCGGTGGCGCCCGAGAAGCTCTCTGTTTACAAGAAGCCAAAGCAAAGGAAGTCCATCTTCGACCCCAACACTTTCAAACGCCCCCAGACACCCCCCAAAATAGACTACCTGCTCCCCGGCCCTGGGCCTGCGCATTCCCCCCAGCCCTCCAAGAGGATGGGGCCTCTGACGCCCCCAAAACCTCCCAGGAGGAGTGACTCCATTAAGTTCCAGCACCGGCTAGAAACCAGCTCCGAATCCGAGGCCACCCTGGTGGGCAGCTCCCCGTCCACCAGCCCCCCCAGTGCCCTGCCCCGCGACCTGGACCCCGGGGAACCCATGCACGCCTCGCCCCCTCGCAAGACCAGGGTCCGCATTGCTTCCAGCTACTACCCCGAGGCAGACGGGGACTCCTCCTACCTGCCCGCCAAGAAGTCCTGTGATGAGGACCTTACCTCCCAGAAGGTGGACGAGCAAGGGCAGAAGCGTCGCCGGCCAAAGTCTGCGCCCAGCTTCCGGCCGAAGCTCGCGCCCGTGGTGATCCCCACTCAGTTCCTGGAGGTAGGGCAGCGCCGGGTGGAGGGTCAGGGTAGGAGGGGTAGCTGGCCATCGCCTTGTGCTTGGCCCTGGCTCCTTGGCTCTGAGCGTCTACCTGAGGGAGCAGAGGGAGGCAGGTGGATGCTCGTGGGAGCAGCCTTCCTTTGCAGAGTCCCGTAGATGTGCACATTCCTGGGGACATGACACCCAAGAGAGAAACACATGCCTGGGTGTAGCATTAAATGTGCTTGTTCAGCGAGAAGCTTTTGAAACTGTACAGCAAAACCAGGTGACATGGACCGGCCTGGAGGGGTTGCACAGAGACTCTTAGCTGGCAGCAGGGCAGGCCGGTGGTCACGGCGGGGGTGCGGCCATTTCTGGAAGGGAGAGCTGCTGTGAGCGGGACAGGTTCGTGCGGCTGCAGACGGAGCCTCCCTGGCTCTGGTGCACGGTCCACCTGTGCACACACAGCCTGCTTATTGGAAAGCACAGGACCTTCCTCTGTGGTTTTCTTCCAGAGCATTTTTGAAGGCAGTTCTTCCCCCCAGGTGCATAAGGCGACTTGAATGAGCAAGGACGTCTCCTGACCGTCACTTTGTGTCCACGTGGGAGGAGCTAGCGTGGAAGGGACAGAGTTGCTTGTAAACACCTGTGGGTTTCCCTGTCTCCAGCCACTCCCTCTTGCCTCTGGTTCTGCAGGAGCAGAAGTGGGTCTCGGCCAGTGGAGAAGTCTCCCCAGAGCTCCCGGAGTGGTCCCCTTACTCACCAGGGCACTCCAGCCGGCACAGCAACCCCCCCCTCTACCCCGGCAAGGCATCTGTGGGTGAGTCAGTGGGGCAGGGCCGGGCGGGGGAGGGCTTGGTGGCCCCGGAGCCTCGCAGTGCCCGGGTCAGTGGAGGGGCGGTCATTTTAAGGGGCAGCTGTGTATCCTCAGCCCAGAGGTCCACAGAGCGAGCAGGTGCTGACCTGTCGGGGTGATGTTAGTCAGTGTCAGTGACATTTCCTGGCTTTGCAGAGTGCTTTCTCCCATAGCAACAGGCCTGGGCAACAGGAAGCAGCAGAGAGAAAGGCTCGCACAGCTGTGGGCTGGCTGGGTGCTCTGGGGAGCTGGGTCTCACCCTGCCCATTTCTAGGCACCGTTCCCCGGAGCATGACCCCGAGCACCACTGTGAGCTCCATCCTGAGGAACCCCATCTACACCGTGCGCAGCCACAGGCTTGGCCCGTGCAGCTCTCCGCCCGTCCCCAGAGAGGTCGGCCCCCAGGTTTTGCATCCCAGGTACGTGAAGTCCCCCACACCTCCTTGCACCCCCGCCACCCAAGCCTACCCGGACACACAGCCACCGGGGCACGGAGAGGCTCACGGACACAGGTTTCCTGGCCCATCTGGAAGGGGCTGGTTTCAGCAGCGCCTTGACCCCAGGGAAAGTGGTTCACCAACGTGGAGCTCTAGAAGGTGTTTAAGGAAAGGTGATGGTGATGGTAGCCAGTGCTCCGTTGCTCATTGTCAGGCACTGTGCTCAGACCTTTGTAAGTATCATCTCAATTGCCACAGCAACCCTAGGTGCTAAGGACTATTGTATCTCTGCTTTTTTTTTTTTTTTTTTTAATATAATTTTATTGACTTTTTACAGAGAGGAGGGGAGAGGGATAGAGAGCTAGAAACATCGATGAGAGAGAAACATCGATCAGCCGCCTCCTGCACCCCCCCCCACTGGGGATGTGCTCACAACCAGGATACATGCTCTTGATCGGAATCAAACCTGGGACCCTTCAGTCCGCAGGCCGATGCTCTATCCACTGAGCCAAACCAGTTTCGGTGTGTCTCTGGTTTATATAGATGAGGAAATAGCCAGAAAAAATGGTCACTTTTGTTTGTTCGTTCATTCATTCACTCATTTCACAAGTTTTTATTGAGCACCTACTGCATGCCATGGACTGTTCCAGTTCCAGGGGGATGCAGTGGAGAACTAAATAGACAAGCTTCTACTCGTGGCGTTTGTTTTCACGTGTGGGAGGCAGATAGGAAACTTGAACAGAGCGATACCACATGGTGCCGAGTAGCTCTGAAAACCGTAAAACAAGGCGATGAGCTGGCCTGAGTTGGAGGCCAGTGAGAGTTAGATTGGATGGTGGGGAGCCGCTTGGTGGGAGGATGGTGCTGTGGGCCAGCTGCGCAGGACATGGGCCGAGTCCCTGGGAAGGAGGGCTGTGGGTGCTGTGCCTGGGCACCTGACAGCAGTGTGATGGGCTCTCGGGACAGGGTGGGGGAGCCAGACAAAGGGAGAGTGGGTCAGAGGTGAGCCCAGGTCACAGGGCACCAACTGTGCAGCCACAGTACAGAGTCGGAGTCTTACTGGGAGTGCAGTGGAAACCATTGGAGGGATTTAAGGCAGGAAGAGATGTGGTCTCATGATGCTGAGAGAAAGGCCATCATTGGGCCTGACACGGAAGATGCCTGGGCTCTCTGCCCTCTGACTTCCCAGGCCTGTTCTCCTGGGGAAAAGTCCTGGTCCCTCCCCAGGGCCCTCTGCCCACTCCTGGGCACCCCCTCCTCAGGATTCAGAGCCCGTTTTCCCTGTAGAAGCCCTTCCTCCAGAGAACCCGACCCCGCTGAGGCAGAGGTGGGTGGGCCGCTCCTGCTCCATTTGTGCGGCCCTCTCTCCCTCGCGCAGGCCCTCGTGGCTGTGCCGCTGGCATGGCTGCGGGCAGGCTGCTGTCTCCAGTTGACAGCCAGCAGCTTCCAGGCCTCCTCCTGCCAGCCCGGGGAGGGAGGCCTTGCTGCCTGTCTCTGTGTTCCTCCCAGGGGCTGCCTCCAGTCCTGGCCCCTCACCCGTCTGGTTCTCCCACAGTGCCCAGCACCAGGGACGCCTGAGCCTGGACCTGAGCCACAGGGCCTGTGGCGACTACTCGGAGATGCGAGCCTCCCACGGGTCCAACTCGCTGCCCTCCAGCGCCCGCCTCGGTAACTGTGCCGCTCGAGCCTTGTCAGTGGCAGCCCCGGCCTGTCCGTCTCCTCCTGCAGCATCCCGCCCGCCTCCTGATGGCCTCTCCGTGGCGCCTCCCCTCCTGGCCCAGGGCGGCTCTGACCCGCACTGTCTGTTGTGCTCTTCGCTTTCCTAGAGGCCATGCGATTGTTCCTGGCAGCCCCTTGGCCCAGGAGCCCTGCTCCTGCTCCTGAGCTTGTTGGTCATCCGGGGGGGGGGGGGGGGTAATCTGTAGTGCTCTTTACTTACGTGGATGCAGCCCCGAGCGGAGGCTGGCACTGGCTTGTGTGGCGGTGTCCAGGCTGTGAGAGCAGGGGATGCTAGTCAGAGTCTCGCAGAATGCTTTCTCTCCGTAGCGGCCTGGGAAATAGGAAGCCCCTGTTCCGAGCGGAAGTGAGGTTCATGTGAGTCTGTCTGGGAGCAGGCTGGGCCCACACAGTTCATCCAGACACTGGGCGTTCGGTGGCTGCTTTTCTCGCCTGAGCCACATGCAGGCCCCTCGGGGATCAGTGGCAGGGCCCTGCTTTGCATTTTGCTGTGGCCACAGAGGGTGAGGGTAGTGTTGACTCTCGGGCCTAAAGTTCTGTCCCCCGTGGAACCCAGGGTCTTCAAGCAACTTGCAGTTCAAGGCCGAGCGCATTAAAATCCCATCCACACCAAGATACCCCCGGTCCATTGTGGGCTCCGACAGAGGTGAGGCCTTCCCAGCATGCCTTCCCCTGCTGTTCCCGCTGTGCCCCCAGCAGAGTGTCTGCCAGGGCTGTGGCTGCCTTCTCAGTCCAGCCAGTTTGTAAACACGGAGTCTGGCTCAGCCCGGCCATGTGGGTGGGGGTGGAAGGGCCCTGTGGAGCCCGCGTCTTAAGTCCAGGCCACGAGCGGTGGCCGCGGTGGTGTGGGGCCACGTGTCTGGATCGTGTCTCCCTCTGGGTCTTGGCTGCTGGAGAGCCGATGTGCAAGATCGAGCCCTGTGTTACTTCCACACCTTTCTTGGCAGGTTCATTGTCGCACTCTGAATGCAGCACCCCCCCGCAGTCACCCCTCAACATCGACACCCTGTCCTCTTGTAGCCAGTCCCAGACCTCAGCCTCCACGCTGCCTAGAATCGCAGTCAACCCCGTGGCCCTCGGGGAGCGGAGAAAAGACAGGTGAGCATGACCTGGGCGTCCGTGCTGGGCACAGTGACGGGTAGCACATCCCGAAATGGGCCAGAGCTGTCGAGGGAAGGCTCCTGGCAAGAGCAGGGGGAGGTGGAGTTCTGACTGAGTGGACCCCCGGCCAAGGCCACCCTGAGTGGGTCACCCAGCACTCCCTGGCATGTTGTCCCAGTAGCCTGTCCTCTCAGCCATGCATGTCCTTGGTATTGTCCCATGTCAGTAAGTCCTGGCATCGTTTGTTAGGCTTCGTGGCGTCTATTGTATGGCTGTGACGATTCAGTTGCCTGCTCTTTATTGAGATAGATGTGTTGATTGGAGATGGGACAGAGGAAAGGGTATTCAGGGGGACTGAGGATGCCTGGGCCAGAGACTCACCCTGCCACACCCGCAGGCCGGCCTAGGCCTCGATACCACCCCCCTCGGCTGGGGTGTGAGGAGGGTGTTGGAATGGTTGCTCACTAAGTGTTTTTTGTTAATCCTCACCCGAGGGTATTGTTCCACTGATTTTTTAGGGAGAATGGGGGAGAGAGGGAAAGACAGAGAGAAATATCGATGTGAGAGAAACACATCGATTGGTTGCCTCCTGCATGAGCCCCGACCAGAGCCTGTAGGACTACTCGGAGATGCGAGCCCTACACCAAGGTTCGTGCCCTTGACTTGAATCGAACCCGGGACCCTTCAGTCTGTAGGCTGATGCTCTGTCCACTGAGTCAGACCAGTGAGGGCATCACTAAGGGTTCTTAAAACTAAACTGCCTGGGACTCTAACACATGTTGAGTCTCAAAGTGATGGAGGGTGCGGGCCTGGGACTCACGCGTCTGAGCCGGAGGGTGGAGGAAAGCATTGCAGAGCAGGTGAGTCTGGGAGGGGAGAACTCTTTGGGCAAGAGAGAAGAGACCAGGCAGGAAGGATTTTATGTCGGCACCAGGGAGATCACTGCACCTCAGGGGGCAGGGTGCGTGGCTCAGGGCCTGCCCTCCGCCCGCCCTTCTTCACCTCATGGACCCACATGGACCACCCCCACCCACCTGCTGGAGGGCAGCCCCAGGGGATGGCTCTCCTACTGGTCCCACCTCGGCCCCTGGCCAAGATTTTGTCCTGAAAGGGAGAGCTCCGGGCAGTGTGAAGCGCAGTCACGTGGCTGTCTTTCTGTCTTGTATTCCAGGAGTCTGTGGTTGTCCTCCCGCTCCGAGCATCCCTCTCCTTTCTAACCTCTCGCACCTTCCAGATGCCAGCAGCACAGATCCCTCCTGAGACTGCCCGTGGCTGCCCGGCCCAGGTCCTCCTCCCTGAGGAGTCTGAGGTTGGCCGACTGGAGGCCCCGCCGAGCCCCTGGGGCCCTTGGCACATGGTCAGCTCCCCCGGGGCCTGCGAGTGCATGGCTGCGGCCTTGCTCTGCGCCTCCCGGAGGCTCCCTTTTCAATGGCGCGGGTTTGCAATAGCTTAATTTCCATGGTCATCTCACCTCACCCTGCGTTCCGATAAATACAGACACGGACACTTTATGTGTCTCTTCTTGGGTGAATGTCATCCCAGAAGACTTTCTCTTCCTCCGAAGGCATCTTTAGACCCCACTGGGGGGTTGTAATTTGCACATTCTCACGTGAAAACCATTGTACTTTTCTCCCGCGTAGACTAGCATTTACTAGTACATTCAGACGGATCTGTCTTTGTGTCTTTGTGTCTGGGTGCTCCCATATCATTTGGGTGTTGTGTTGGGGTAGCATGAGGTTGCAGGGATGGGTATCGCTGTCATAAAAAAGGTGGGCCATCATGTTCTCATCTGGCTGTGTCCACGTAGGAGCGCCTGGCGCTCCCCGGCCCTGTCTGTGTAGCTGATTGCATGCCTCGCCTCAGGTCCTCCCCAGACCCTTCCTTCGGGTCCCAGCCCCCAGAATCCTTGTCTCTCGTCCCAGGCCCTACATGGAGGAGCCGCGCCACGTCAAGCTGCAGAAGGGCTCGGAGCCCCTGGGCATCTCCATCGTGAGTGGAGAGAAGGGTGGGGTCTATGTCTCCAAGGTGACCGGGGGCAGCATCGCTCACCAGGCTGGCCTGGAGTATGGTGACCAGCTACTTGAGGTGAGTGGGAGCCTCCCCGCCGTGGAGAAGCGGTGCCCCCGTGTCCCCGTCCTGCCACGTCACCGCTCGCTCTGGGTGTTTGTTCCCTAGTTCAATGGCATAAACCTGCGGAGTGCCACGGAGCAGCAGGCTCGGCTCATCATCGGGCAGCAGTGCGACACCATCACCATCCTGGCCCAGTACAACCCACACATGCACCAGCTCAGCAGCCACTCCCGGTCCAGGTAAGGCCTGGCCTCTGATGGCCGTCTGGGTGTGCAGGTGCACGGCTCCCCCCTGGAGACCGGGGCATTCTGCTGCCCCACGGGGAGAGTTGCCTAGACGGGGGATTTTGGAAAAAGGACCCATAAGAAGGAAGATGCCTCCTCCTGAAATAGGGTGTGGGAAGGGATGGCTGGGTCCCCCAGTGCTGCAGGAGGCCCACACTTGGGGGTGTGGTGGCTGGGGGGGTTCACACCCAGAGCCCCTGTCCACGAGCATGCACTGCCTGTGTTTGCCCTCCTGCTGTGGGTTGCAGGGAAGAGGAGGGGAGGAAATGCCCCTGCCACCCAGCACTGCACAGAGGGGACGAGATGTGCAGTGTTGAGGAGCCTGGTCCCTGTTGCCCCCGGAGATGGAGTGGCTCCGGCTGCTGAAGGCTGCATGCCGCTCCTTATTCTTCCTGTCCTGTGTCCTCAGCTCCCACCTGGACCCTGCCAGCACCCACTCCACCCTCCAGGGCAGCAGTGCTACAGTCCCGGAGCACCCCTCGGGCATTGACCCGCTGATGGAGCAGGACGAGGGCCCTGGCACCCCCCCGACCAAGCAGAGCGCCCCCAGTTCCAGGTCAGCAAATGTGCGCCGTGAGCCCTCCTCCTGTGCGCCTCAGTGGGTCGTTGTCATGGCCTGAGCACATGCATCCTCTAGGGGCGCGGGCACTGGACAGGCTGTCACCGTGCTGCAGACGGCACAGCAAGCCGGCAGGATCTGGGTGGGGGGCACACCGTTCCTCTTTCCCCTCCTCCTCACTGCCCTTTCTTCTTTACTCGTTTCTCTTGTACGTATTAGGGGGGCAGTGCAGGCTGTGAGGGCGCCGTCAGGAGTGTGGCAGGAGTGGTGGAAGCTGGGTCACATGTTCAGGATGAGCAGGCGTTAGGTGTGCAAAGGGTGGGCATGGACAGCAATCAGGAGGAGCGGCCAGCCTTGCTGTGGGCAGGAGGAGGCGGGCACACATGGGAGCTGGAGGGGCCACGGGGACAGGCCGCCCGGGCCAGGGCAGGCAGCCCTGCGTGGAACCGTTCCCTGTCATGGTGGGGCCTCAGCCATGCCCGGCCTCGCTCAGCGTGAGGCCATCTCCGTGGCCTCGGCACCGGGTCTGTCACGTTGGGACCATCCTGCAGCACATTGTCATCGCCTGGCTTCCCCACTGAGGTCCCTGTCCTCGGGCTCCACCCCGCCCCCTGTCCCACGCTCTGTCTGTTGCCAGCACCTTAGTCTCCCTCACAGCTCCAAGGGTTCCTCGGTAGCACGGGGCCCTCTCTGTGGGTCAGCGCCGTCCCTGGGTCCAGAGTAAACGTGTGCCGCCCAGTTGTGTGCTGGTCAGTGGGACTGGCTCTCACTGTCCTCGGGCAGAACAAGGTGAGGAAAGCAAGCACCACCAAGTGGGAGCGATGCCAGGCCCCAGGCACGTGGCTGGCAGCTGGCCAGAAAGCAGGGCTTTGATGTCCGCTCTGTTGCCAACTGGCTTTGCGACCAGGGCCCCGTTTCACCTCTGCCAAAGCTCAGCAGCTCGCGAGAACTGGGCCTGCAGAGGGACCTCCCGGCTCCCTGGGTTCTGAGACCTCAAGCAGACAGGCGAGGGCCTTGGCCGCTCTGTAGCCTTGTTCCTGCCCTCCTCCCGGGCCTGCTGATGGAGCTCCATTTCTCTCCTGGCAGGATGGCGGGAGATGCCAACAAGAAGCCCCCAGAGCCACGAGTTGTCTTTGTCAGGAAGTCCCAGCTGGAGCTCGGGGTGCATCTGTGCGGCGGGAACCTGCACGGGGTGTTCGTGGCCGAGGTGGAGGACGACAGTCCCGCCAAGGGCCCCGACGGCCTGGTGCCGGGCGACCTCATCCTGGAGGTGAGTTCCGAGCGCTCTGCACTCTGCCTGCACATCAGGCTCCCTCCTTCTCAGCGGGCAGCGGAGGGCGCGGAGCTGCCCAGACCCTCTGGGCCGGTGGTCAGCAAATGGCAGCTCTGTGGACTAATGAGTTTGCCAATCACTGACCTAGACTCTCGATTTCAATAACTACAGGCTGCTGTTGCTCCTTGTGATTAAGCCCCTGTCCCAGTGGTCGGCAAACTCATTAGTCAACAGAGCAGCAAACCTCGGCTCGCAAGCCGCATGTGGCTCGCGAGCCACAGGTTGCGGAGCCCTGCTCTGGGCGATTTCAGGGATGCGGGTGCCCACTTGGGCACTAGCATCTGTCTGGAGGGGAGTGCTCGGCCCCTGTCGGCAGTAGGACTCCGATCTGCCGAGCGTGTGTCTGCCTCTCCAGGTCTCCTGCCTGATGGGAACTGGGTTGTAGGCCTGGAGAAATACAGGTTGTGTAGGCAAGATGGAGGGCGACATTACTTGCTGAGGGACTGAGCAGGGTTTCCTCCGGGCCACAAGAAGAATAAAAGCACCGCTCAGCCGCTCAGCTGTGTGCCCTGGAGGATGGGACCCTGTCTCTAGCACCCCCTCCTTGGTGGGGGTACCGTGTTTCCATCCTGCTGTGGAGGGCAGACCGGACACGGGCAGATGCGCCAGCCCTGCCTACAAAGGGGAGGCAGACGGGTTCTCCTTTGAGGGATGTTGAACCTACACCTTATCCCACAATCTGCCCCTCATGGGTGCCCAAGCTGCTCTGGCCTCTGCCCTTTGACCCCGGTCCCCTGTCCCCGGGCAGTATGGCAGTCTGGACGTGCGCGGCAAGACAGTGGAGGAGGTCTACGTGGAGATGCTGAAGCCCAAGGACAGTGTCCGCCTGAGGGTGCAGTACCGCCCAGAGGAGTTCTCCAAGGTCAAGGGCCTGCCTGGCGACAGCTTTTACATCAGGTGCCGGTGCCGGGGCTTCCAGGGGTTCGGGGCTGGGGGAGGGGCTTTCAGTGGAGACTGTTCCTGGTAAATGTCTCTATTTTCACCCCAGAGGGTGGGACCATGATCATGACCTTGGGCCCCAAACTGCATCCCAGGGCGGGATGCTAGTGACTTAGGAAGACCCTTGAGGGCTCGCTGGGCCAGATGGGCTCCCTCTTTAGGGTTTGGGGCCTGGGGGCCTTTGAGACTAAAGAGCCGCATTTCCCTGTGGGCTGCCCTCCTTTCCCGTCTTCCCCCGACCCAGGTCTGTGGATCCTCTGCAGTGTCCTCAATGTGTGTGGGGCGGGCACCTGGCAGCTTCTAGGGGGTGCTCATAGCTGCCTTCCTGTTCCCTAAGATCTGAGGCCACAGGAAGAATAAGAGCCCTGGTCAGCTGTGTACCATGAGGTGTGGGTCCCTGTCTCCAGGGCCCCCTCCGAGGTGGGGTGACATGTTTCCATCCTGGGGAGTTTCCTGTCTGTAGGAACCATCAGCCTCGACTCAGGGAGGAAGGCAGAAGGAAAAGTGCTCGTGGAGGGGTGGACACTGCCTTGGTCCTTGGCAAGTGCTCTGCCTGATGGGCGTGAGGTGCTCTCCTGCCCCACAGGGCGCCCTGGGTCTCAGGGAGGAAAGGCAGTTGCGTTGTCCCATTAGCAAAGCCCGCTCCCTTCTTTGGACGAGGAGAGACAGCAGGTCCTGACCCTGGACTGGGAAAGCTCCGAGCAGACAGTGTACATGGGGCCTGGCTGTCGAGGCTGTGGCTCCTGACCCTCTCCCTCGCCGCCTGCCGCAGGGCCCTGTACGACCGGCTGGCGGAGGTGGAGCACGAGCTGAGCTTTAAGAAGGACGACATCCTCTATGTGGATGACACATTGCCCCAGGGCACGTTCGGGTCCTGGATGGCCTGGCAGCTGGACGAGAACGCCCAGAAGATCCAGCGCGGGCAGATCCCCAGCAAATACGTGTGAGTGTTTTGTGGGGGGGATGTGGGGGCGGGCGGGGCGGTTCCCATGGCACTCTCCTCCAGGACGGAGGACTCCTTCTGCCTCCCATCTTGGCTTCTGGTCGCCTCGTCTTCCAAAATCGCTGTCTGAAAGCTGCTCCTAGCGTAAGCCACTGCCGTGCGTGAGTCAGCGCTGTACAGAGCACAGTGGCAACTGAGGATGCATAGCTTTTTAAGATGTTTAACAGATTTATTGAGGTATAATTCACATAGCATACATTTCCTCGAAGTGTACGATTTGTGGCTTTTGGTACATTCACAGATATGTGCAACGATTACCACACATTTTAGAACAGTCTCATCGCCTAACAAGCCCCACCCCTTTAGCTGTCCCTCTCTGCCATCCCTGCCCCTCCTCTCACCCTGGGCAATCATGAACCTGCTTTCTGTCTGTAGGTTTCCCTGTCCTGGGCTCTGGTGGGGCGGGGATCATAGAGTTGTGGTCTCCATGCCTGGCTTCTTCACTTAGCGAGACGTGCGTGCTTCCGCGTGCATCCGAGCCCATTCCTCTGCAGCAGGGCACATAGCTTGCAGTGCCCCCTGGGAAGGCCGTCCTGGTCCTTTGATGCCATCTGAATATAGACGTTGCCTGCTCTGAGAGCTTGCCCCACAGCTTGCCTCCAGGGCTCCTTGAGGTGGCACGGGTGGGTGAGGTGCCCAGGAGGCCTGCAGAGCAGTATTGGCGGAGCTTGGACTTCCAGCCCCCGCCCTCCTTAGGGGCGGGGAGAGAGGGGGGAGAGGAGGGGATGGGGAGATGGGCCCTTCCCAGCTCTGCCATCCCCTGTGACTGCAGGATGGACCAAGAATTCTCCAGGAGGCTCAGCATGTCCGAGGTCAAAGATGACAGCAACGCCTCCAAGACACTGTCCGCGGCCGCGCGCAGGTCCTTCTTCCGAAGAAAACATAAGCACAAGCGCAGCGGGTCCAAAGATGGGAAAGACCTCCTCGCCTTGGACACCTTTTCCAACGACTCCATTCCCCTCTTCGAAGGCAAGTGGCTGAGCTGCCTTTGCCGGCGGGCTTTCAGTCTGGGTTTGCTGTGGGCCGCAGCATCCTCACAACAAGCGCTTAAATAAGACGGAGGAGGCTTGCTTTGCTTTTGCACAGAAGTAGTCCAGAGCTAGGTGTGTGGGTTGGAATGGTGGTACCACTGTCTTCCGTCTCCCTCTGTAGGATGCGGGTTCCTTCCTCAGGGCCTCCCATGGTCACCACGTGTCATTGCAGCTCCAGCCATCATGCCCATGTCCCCGCAGCAGGAAGGAGGAAGGGGCCGGGCAAAGTGTGTCTCAGTTGAGTGTGGCTATTGAAACAGCTCCCCCAGAAGCCCCATCCTGCAGCTTCTTGTGTGCAAGAGTGAAACAGGCGGCAAGGTTTTAGTTGGCACATCCTGGCCTCCGTGACGCAGGTTCTGTCAGACAGGAAGGACAGGTGCTACTTGGTGGTGACCAAGGACCACTGGTCTCTGCAGATCTTTGCCCCTTTCTGGCCTCACTTTTGTGTCCATTAATGATTCTTACAAGATCCTCCCGGGGCTGGGTGCTGATCGGCCTGGAGTTGCATATTAGGGAGGCAGACATCCCTGGCGGGTTGCCCTTGAAGAGAGAGCGTGCTCGTCCCATAAAGCAAGAGGTGCTTGTGCCTGCTGCTCCTGGAACCCGGGAATGTGTCCGCTGTCCTAGAACAGGAGCTCTTCTGGGTGTGGAGGTGGCAGTGAGCAGCAGAAGGCAGCCAGCCGTTCCTCCTTCCCTCCTTCTCTCCCCTCCTTTTCCCCCTTAATGTCTTAAATTAAGGCCTAAGGCTCCCTGTCACTGAGGCAGGGTAGGGGTTAGCATCCCACAGCCCCTGGACCGAGTGTAGCCCACTGCCTGCTTGCTGGGACCGGGCTCTTACATGGTAAAATGTAAGAAAGACAGGTTTTATGGGTAATTTGGTTTTACCTTTTGGCCTCTAAAACCTAAAATATTTACCATCTTGCCCTTAATAGAAAAAAAATCTGCCAACCTCCTGGGTTTCTCACTTATTTAGTTTTTTGTTTCATTTCTTCTTTCATTTCTTTGATCTCCTCTTTCAATATCACTGTTCCCTTTCTCCCATAGACACCATCTCTGGTATATTTGTTGTGTGCTCAATGGATATATTAATATCTCTGAAAAATAGCTATTTGTCAGTTGCTTTTTGAAGTTGTCTTTAGGTGCATACAGCTTTTGAATTATTGTATCTTCCTGGCAAGCTGTTCCTTTTATCATCAGGAGATGTGCATCTTTATCTCTAGTAATGTTTCTTGCTTTAAAGTCTGTTTTGTCTGATGTTATTGTTATACCAGCTTTCGTTTGGTTAGTGTTCACACAGTTCATCTTTTTCTATCTTTTTACTTTAAACATTTGTAGCTTTATATTTAAACGTCTCTTATAAGTGTTTTTTTTTTCTTTTTTTTAACATATGGTGACTAATTCTTTTTTCATTTTATTGAACTACTAGTAGAGGCCTGGTGCATGAAATTTGTGCACGGGGGCGGGGGTGTGGGTCTCTCAGTCTGGCCTGCACCCTCTCCAATCCAGACTCCTCTGGAAATGTCAGGCAGTTGGACATCCCTCTCGTAATCTGGGATCACTGGCTCTTAACCATTCACCTGATTGCCCTAACTGCTCTTTCCTGCCAGCCTGATCCCCCTAACTGCTCTCCCCTGCTGGCTTGATTGCCCCTAACCATCTCTGCCTCAGCCCCTCCACCATGGCTTTGTCCAGAAGGTCATCCAGAATACATTGATCTAATTAGCATGTCACCCTTTTATTAGTAAAGATGAGATATGTATGGAAAAGTGCACATATATTTAGAGTTTGGAAAATTGGAAAATGCCCGACCACTGTTTCTTTAAAACTGCTTCTGTGCTCTTTCCTCTCCTTCTGTGTCTTATTATTATTTTTTGATTTGTCATCACCTGAGAATATTTTTTTCCATTGATTTTTAGAGAGTGGAAGAGAAGAAGAAAGGGAGTGAGGGGGAGAGGTAGAGAGAGAGAAACATTGATGTGAAAAAGACATATCAACTGGTTGCCTCCTGTACCCAACCAGCAGCAGGGCCAGGGTTGAACCTGCAACCCAGGTACATGCCCTTGATCGGGAATCAAACCCGTGACTCTCTGGTTCCTATGCCAATGCTATAACAACCTAGAAACACCAGCCAGGGCTCTGTCTTACTTCTTTGACCATTTCTCCTATGTGTTTTACACTCCCCTCCCCCCCAAATTTTCCATATTCTTCTTTCCTGCTTCAGCCTGGTTGCTTTCTCCTGACCCTTTTCCTGTTCACGATGCACTCTTCTGTTGTACCCACCTCGTTCTTATTTCAGAAATTGCACATTTTAGTTTTAGTTGCCATTTGATATTTTTGTAGTAAAAACACCTATCATTAAATCGGCCATCGCAGCCATTTTTAAATATCCAGCTCAGTGGCGCTAGGTATGTTTGCATTGTTGGGCCACAGACCCCTAGAGCAGAGGATGAGGGGGTTGGTGAGCAGGCCTAAGACAGAAGGAAGGGTTTCAGCAGACAAAGTGCTGAAATGCTTGGGTGTTCACAGACTGGGAATTGTGCTGGACCCCAGAATGGCTGTGCCCGGCTGTGCCCGGGATGTGGGGCTCCAGAGCTAAGACTGGGCAAGTCCAGGCAGACTCGGTGAACTGGCCACACCGCCGGGCGCTGGGTTTGTGGAGTGTAGGTAGGGGTGAGCCTGCATAGAGTTAGCAAGGACAGGACCGCTGTGTCCCCCCCACTCTCCCTCCCTCACCCAGGCGGTTACCATGACACGGCCCCTCTCCCTCCCTCAGATTCGGTGAGCCTTGCCTATCAGCGGGTCCAGAAAGTAGACTGTACCTCCCTGAGGCCTGTCCTCATTCTGGGGCCGTTACTAGACGTGGTGAAGGAAATGTTGGTGAACAGGGAGCCCAACAAGTTCTGCAGATGCCCCTTGGGTAAGCGCCCCCTCTACCTCCCCACCCCCCGCCCCATGTTTGTCCCCGTGCCCCTTCCCTCAGTCTCCTGGGCCGTTCCCACAGTTTTTCTGAGCCCTTTTGACTTGGGTTAGACGGTGAGTAGCCTGTGGCTCTTTCTCTGGAGAGAAGACGGCAGGACTGGGTCCTAGTCCCCCGCAGGGCCCTCGCTCCGTGGTGTCTGGGTCTGAGGTCTGTGTCTGCTTTGCAGAGGTGATGAAGGCCTCCCAGCAGGCCATCGAGCGAGGCGTCAAAGATTGCCTGTTTGTCGACTACAAGCGCCGGAGTGGCCATTTTGACGTGACCACGGTGGCTTCCATAAAGGAGATCACAGAAAAGGTACCCGTTGCTTCTGAGGAGGGTTTGCACCTGTTAGCCTTTGGGTGCTGCCCTGTGCAGTCCCAGACCCTCCATGAGCTCACCCATGCTCTTGAGCCTGGATGAGCCTTCTTGGGGCTGGCCCATGGCTGCTCTGTGCTTCCACTTTCATGAAGAGGAAGCCGGTCAGGGGTCACCTGTGTACGGGGTGTAGGAGAGAGTGCAGGAGTCACCCACCCTGTGCACAGTATGTAGGGGAGGATGCAGGAGTCATCATGAGTAGGGGGTGTGAGGGAGGGGTACAGGAACCATCATGAGTAGGGGGTGCCGGGGAGGGGTGCAGGAGTCACCCTGTACACAGGTTCCCCTTCCTGGGAGGTCTGCTGAGCTGGATGAGAGTTGCTGTGCTTTTTCTGGGACAGGGCCCAGGGCTTCCGTCAGGACCCTGCCCCTGGGTGGGCCAGCAGCCCTTGCTGTGGGTTTTTGGGCTCTGGAAGGTTCTGAGGTCCACTTGCATAAGGGAAAGTGGACATCACAGATCACAGGGCGGGTGGGAAAGGCACCTTTGAGGCTGTGGGTGCTCCTCAGGCCCCCCTTCCCGGACCTCTTAGAGCTGTCAGTGCAGATGCCCAGGCGGAGTGGTGAGCCCCGGGCACTTAGCCCGCGGTGGGGAGAGCCATAGGCTTGGTGTGTGGGTTTCTTCTGGCTCACAGTCTGCCTGGAGGCTCGGGGGAGCCCGGGGCACATTTCAGTCACAGTCCCCCAAAGACAGACACCGTCCGCCACCACAGGCCCTGCTTATCCGGGACAAGGTCGGGCAGCGCCTAAAAAGTTCCCCATGTCTGGGCAAAGGCAGAGAAGGAAGTTTGCAGTCGTCCATCCAGTCCCCGCTGGGCACTGGCTCCTAGCCTGGACCCCATCGGCGCTGATAGCTGTGAGCAGAGTTTGGGGTTAGCTTCCCCACCGTTTGTCACACCTTGTTTTCATGAGAGAGGGTCTCGCTTCCTTGTTCACGGATAGAACCTGGTGTTCATTGTGGAGACAGGCAGAGCCTGTGAGGGGAGAGGTAGGCCCCACTGTTGGCAGAGAAAGCGGAAGGTGTCCCCACAAGGCCTGTGATGTTTCCGAGGCCCGGCCCTTGGGCCTGGCCCTGACACTCACTGTCGGCCCCCCTCCCCCCGCCCCGGCCCCCCTAGAACTGGCACTGTCTGCTAGACGTCGCCCCCCACGCCATCGAGCGGCTGCACCACATGCACATCTACCCCATCGTCATCTTCATCCACTACAAGAGCGCCAAGCACATCAAGTAGGTGGGGGTTCCTGGGCTGGGCCTGGGGCCTGGCTGGGCTGCTGCTCCCATAGCCAGGGCTGGGGCACTGGGTGGCAGGGCTGGGGCACTGGGTGGTGGTGCTGGGGCACCGGCTGGTGGTGCTGGAGCTAGGGGGGACCTCAGCTGGGCGCCCACAGACACAGGAGCCAAGGGGCCTCAGCTGGGTGCCCACAGACACAGGAGCTAGGGGGGACCTCAGCTGGGCGCCCACAGACATAGGAGCTAGGGGGCCTCAGCTGGGCGCCCACAGACATAGGAGCTAGGGGGCCTCAGCTGGGTGCCCACAGACACAGGAGCTAGGGGGCCTGGGCGCCCACAGACACAGGAGCTAGGGGGCCTGGGCGCCCACAGATACAGGAGCTAGGGGGCCTGGGCGCCCACAGACACAGGTGCTAGGGGGCCTGGGCGCCCAACTCCGCCAGAAGCAGGCTATCATGAGTGAGCCTCTGCTCCCCAACCTCTGGTTGGGCTAACTGCTCATCAAGGCCCCTCCCTTTTGCCTGTTTGTGCTTCCAAGCTTCTGGTACCTGCTCTCGGGGCCGCTGGGGTGTCTGCTCGTGATGTGCGTGCACGGGGGTGCCCCTTCCACCTCTGCCCAGAGCTCCCCGTGGAGCCTGTGGGCTACGACTGTGCTTACAAAGGGAGCGAGCGGGGGTCCTGTTACTGTGGACAAAGGAACGGAAGAGGGGGGCTGGGGAAACGCAAGGCTCACTCGTTCTCTGCATGTCCCCACAGGGAGCAGAGAGACCCCGTGTACCTGAAGGACAAGGTGACGCAGAGGCATTCCAAAGAGCAGTTTGAGACGGCTCAGAAGATTGAGCAGGAGTACAGCAGGTACTTCACAGGTAGGTGTCCCGAAGAGAAGTAGATGGGGCACAGCCCGTGCTGGCTGGGGGCCGGTGCTGCCCTTGCCAGCACTCGTTTCAGATGCTCTGATGGCAGGCACAGGGCAGCGCAGGAATTCAATAGGTTGAGAGGTAAAGCTCCCTGATTTGGCCCCAGGCCATGGTCTGGTCGGTCCACCCAGGTTTGTCACGTGTGCAGTGGCAGGTCTGTCTCAGAGCGTGTAGCACAGCTTCTGGGTTCCCGGGTTCCGTGCTCCCAGCACCCCCGGGCAGGTCAGCTTTGCCTTGAGGTTTGGTGAAGAAAATCTGCGTCCTTACCATCCCTGTTCTTTGAAACAAAGCAAACCACAACAGGCCTGGCTCCAGCTGCTGGCTGTCACTGACCCTATGGCTTTCAGCCTCCTCCACAGTGTTAGTCATTTGTGGGGTTAATAGGTGGTGGTCGCAGAGAGGTGTGGAGTGATTGTCGGTAACATGGAGGCTGCTGGGATCTGTGCTTTGCATGAAGTGGTTCTCAGAACCAACCTTGGTGTTTCCGTGTGTGTGTGTGTGTGTGTGTGTGTGTGTGTGTGTGTGTTAATTTCCTGTCCATCACAAACCAGTGTTTTAGTCAAATACATTAATGGTTGCTAGAGAAATGAAGATTTAAAACTCCAAACATATAAAATACAGGCCTTGCTTCTTTTTTAATTATTTTTAAAAAAATATATTTTATTGATATTTCACAGAGAGAAGGAAAGGAGAGAAATAGAGAGCTAGAAACGTCGATGAGAGAGAAACATTGACCAGCTGCCTCTTGCACACCCCCTACTGGGGATGTGCCCGCAACCAATGTACATGCCCTTGACCGGAATCAAACCTGGGACCTTTCAGTCTGCAGACCGACGCTCTACCACTGAGCCAAACTGGCTTTGGCGGCCTTGCTTCTTTTAAAAAATATATATATATTTTATTGATTTTTTACAGAGAGGAAGAGACAGGGATAGAGAGCCAGAAACATTGATGAGAGAGAAACATCGACCAGCCTCCTCCTGCACGCCCCCCACTGGGGATGCGCCCACAACCAATTACATGCCCTTGACCAGAATCGAACCTGGGACCCTTCAGTCCGCAGGCTGACGCTCTGTCCACTGAGCCAAACCGGTTTTGGCCAGGCCTTGCTTCTTTATTAGATTCAACAGACATAGACTCTGTCATGTGTCTATAGCAGTTTCTAGCGCTCCCCAGTGAGTCCTGTGCATGCCCGTGACGGGCACCTGGGACACGCTCTGTCCACTGCGTGTTCTGTGGAGCATATGAACGCCCTGGCTGGTGTCTCAGGGCCCGTGGTGTCGAAAGCCTGTGAGCAGGGCTGGTTAATACATGGAAACGTCACGTCTTTGCTGGGAATCCTCTCTGGTCCATGGGATGTCCAGCTCCTAACCTGTTTCCTGCACAATTCTGCTGCGGATCAGACCTTCATAACTGGTCCCCAAACGGCTTTCCAATATGCTGGGCTCCCCAAGGGCAAGACTGGGCACCTGGCCCACTTGCACCTGATGCCCAGGGTTACATATGGTTACCCTGTGACGGGCCGGGGAAGCCTGGCAAAGTTTGACACCCACCTTCACTTAAGCCCATGCTTTCAGCATCCTACTGAACAGTGGGCCAGAGAGACAGATAAAAAGCCGAGTGATCTGTGCCCAACTCTTCTCTTTCTCCCCCAGTTTCTTGCTGATGGAAGAAAGTGGACGGGAGAGGCAGGAACCTGAAAATAGGCAGAGAAACAAAGAGGAAAGGGTGTCTTTATTTGCCTCACACGGGGCGTCTTCCTCTTTTGCAGGGGTGGTCCAGGGAGGAGCCCTGTCGAGCATTTGCGATCAGATCATGGCCTTGGTCAGCCAAGAGCAGAGCAAAGTCCTGTGGATTCCAGCCTGCCCGCCGTAGGCCGCTGCGCTGGGAACAGAGGCGGCTTGTCACCAGCGTCCGGCCTGGCTCAGCTTCTCTGAAAGCCCATTGGAACATGAGCACCGGGGGAGGGCCCACGGCGGGGCCCCCGCTGCTCCCCTTTGAGACAGGGGGCCGCAGGCGCGTGGCCCCGGGCCCAGCCCAGCGGACCGTCTTCCTCACACGTGTGCTTTAAGACAAAACAATAACCACCCAGGACTCTGCTAGAGGTTCCACACCAGCCTTCCGAGGCCCGCGATCCGAGATGCTGCAGAGAACCTTTCATACCACAAGTTTACAAGCCTTTCTAAGTATTTGGTTGTTTCTGTTTACTTGAACGGCCCATGTTGTTGGTGCCCAGCCCCTGCCCCTGTCCATCCCGTGTTGCTTTCGTGTTTTGGTTTTGTTCCTGTTTTCAGCGAAATGACTCTGGAACCTCGATGGGCTGCTCGGCCCTAGAAGGTTCGTGGTGGGACCAGAGCTCTGAAAAACCTACTCCTCGGCGGCATCTCTCCCGGAAGGACATCGCCGTGGCAGTTGCTTGGACGTTGGTGGTGGCAGAACCAGTGCCTTTGTGGAGCCGACTCGCCAGCAGCAGTGGTTTCCCTGCCCGCAGCAGGGCAGGTGACACTGGCATCTCACAACTCGTCTCAGACTTTCCCTCCTGCCTAAGCGCCCTCTCATCTCTCCTTCCCGCCTCTCTCTGTCCTCCGGAGCCTCTCGGCTCACGCTGACGACTGGTTCTGGCAGGAGGCCAAGCCGATGCATGCCGTTGGTCCTCTGTGGGCTCTGTAAATAGAGACAGCCTTTCTCAGTGCAATGTTTGCAGGGTACTTCTCAAACCGTAGAGGGAGCAGACTCGCCAGCTCCTTTGGACATGGAAAGTGTCTCAAACTTTGAGTTGAGAGTCTTCGGGGAAGCCTAGTGATTAGTATTGTCACCGTCAAAATCTGAAAAGTGGGCGGGACCTGTTAGTCTTGGCTGCAGCGCTCCCGGCATGCCCAGTGCTCCTTGAGGATGTCTTTGTTGGGACTTCTGTTTTTTCTTTTCTTTTTCTTTCTTTCTTTCTTTCTTTCTGGTTTTTTTTTTTTTTTTTTTTTTTTTTTTTTTTTTTTTTTCACTTCTGAAGCTGGGTACCTCTGGCTGCAGATTTGATGTGGTTCCTCCCTAAACTGTGCGTCCTCTTGTTCATAGGTACTGTACCGGGCTCCGTGTGTCACTGGGGTAGGGCCTGTATTTTAATACTGTTCCTAACATTTCATTTTACTAGCGAGAAATCTTTGATTTCATTTTATCCTTTGTAATTCTAGACACTAGATGGTAGTTTAGCCATACTGACATTTTTTAAAAGGGATATATTTTCTTGCACAGTTGTTCAAAAAGAGACACGTGTGGGTCCTCAATGCTGCCCTTCGTTTTACAGGTACAAGTGTCTAGCTCAGACAGCCGAGACGCGAGGCTGTCTTGAGTCTTAACGCGCACTCAGGGCGCTGCCCTGAGCTGCAGACAGTGGGACTGTGATGGTACAGTGTGCACAGGTACTGTCCCAACAGACTGGGATCTTCTGTAAGGAAACCTTACTTTGTATCAAAAGCAAAACAGACTTTAGTACAATAAATAAAGGTCAATTTCTGTAACTTGTGATGAAGGCGGCTGTACTTCACTGCTTCCCATCTTGTCCTGCTCCCTCCACTTCCCTTTCTTCCTAAATTCCTTCGTCCCCGGCAGCAGGGGCCAGCTGATGGGTGGGCTCTTTCCAGCTCCAGAGTATTCAGGAGCCTCTTCTTGGCTGAGACAAAGCTCTGAGGCCAGGCAGAGTGGCCAACTGCAGTTTGGTGCTCGGAAGCCGAGCTGCTGCCCTCGACGAGTTGGCAGGGTGGAGGGCCGCCTGGGTCACAGATGCCAACCGAGGAAGCACAGGGTAGGGCTCAGAGGCAGCGGAACCCCCTGGGGTTGACGGTGCTGTGGAGGGGAAAGGCTCTGAGTCTGGGCCTGGGGCAGCGGGGCCTCCTCCGAGGCTCCCTTCTGGGAATCTAACCTGTGAGTGCCCTCGCCCTCCCCTTCTCCGTCCGTGCTCTCCTCTGCTCACGCCTTCTGGAACCTGGTCTCCAGCCTCTCGGCGTTGCCCCGGCAGTTCTCCTGGCTATTACGAGTTTCTCTGTGTTTTTTAAACTGTGAAATGTGTCATACACACAGAAGGACATACATAATATACACGTATGTTCCAAAGAATAGATGGATGTTGTCCTTAAGGAGCACAACGCTACCTTAGAAGCCACCTTATGCCCAGCCCAGTCAGTCCTCCCCATTTCTCACTGAAGTACTTACTCAGGGACTTGTGGTGTAATCACATCTTTGTTTCCTGCTTTTACCCCCACTGGAGATACCTTGAAGCAGTTCAGTTTTGTTTTGTTTTTTTAAGTATATTTTATTGATTTTTCACAGAGAGGAAGAGAGAGGGATAGAGAGTTAGAAACATCGATGAGAGAGAATCATCGATCAGCTGCCTCTTGCACACCCCCTACTGGGGATGTGCCCGCAACTAAGGTACATGCCCTTGACTGGAATCGAACCTGGGACCTTTTAGTCTGCAGGCCGACGCTCTATCCACTGAGCCAAACCGGTTTCGGCTAGCATTTCAGTTTTAAAAACACCAGGCATCAAGCACAAAGTTAGCCACGTAGGTGAAGAAGTACTTTGCCACTGTTAGCTGAAGTCGGCCAGAAAAAAGGAATGCGACCTGTGGGTCAGAGTGAAGCTAGGAGTTTCCAAGAGCCCCGCTGGGGGTCAGAGAGCAAGGACTTGTAGGCGGCCTGGGACCAGGGAGGTCACACAATGAGTTCAGGTGGCAGCGCTCTCCACAGACCAGGGCCACACTGGCTGGCAGAAGTTCGGTCAGTGGAGGGATGGCTTAAATATGGAATTCAGGAAGGCCTGTGAGAAATAGATTTCCTTGATTCCAAATTTTAGGGCTATTCCATTTCCTTCAACTTGGCACAAGCTGGGAAGTTTTCTCACGAAAACTAAGACGGGGCCCCTCTCCAGCTAGACAACTCTGCTCTGCCTGCTCCTGTGCTGGCCTGCTCTGTCCGCTCCGGGCAGAGGGCTAGTCTCCCTGGCTGGGGAGACTAGCCTTCAGCCTTCAGAAAGGGCAAGTGCAGTTTCAGACCTGAGGGGACCTGACTTACATAGACAGGAAACCCGCTCCTGATAGGCCCATCCTCATGCAAATGAGGACTCAAATGCCTTGAGGGTTGGTCCAAAAGGCACTGACTGTCCTGATTGAAGCTGCTCCGATGGGTCAGTGAAGCAGCTGATGGGGATATACCTGTGCAGCTCTGATTGGATGGCGAAACCTCAGGCCTATTGGTGGAAATAGGATTCCAGGCACTCCCTTGTAAGGCTGGCTCATACGGCAGAAACACAGTGCAGGGGGTGGTAGTTCAGTGCAGCCTCCTCCTGAGGGGCAGGTGGCATGAGAGGCTCATGTAGAAATGACTGCTAGGCTGTTTTTTTACATTTGAGCCCAGGGCCTTCTCTCTCAGGATGGAGAGATGAGTTGAACAGTGCTGTTCTGCACTTGGCCTGCGAGAGTAACTCCTGTGTGTACCTGTCCTAGCAGCCAGAAAAGAACGTGCCCGTTTATCTCTGACAATGAAAGCAGGGCGACTCGGATTGGGCCCGGCAGTGCCAGGGAGAGGAATGGACCGTGGGGGTCGGAATGCGCTGGACATGGATGGCATCACTGCTCTCCACGGTGCTGCCACTGGTCCACCTGCTTTCAGCTTCTAAAACAACTTTGCAATTGTTGCCTCTCTGCTCTCCCCTTATTTCTAGATTTATGGATTTTTAAAAGAAACCCTCTTTCTATAATGCATCTCTTTTTATTATTGATTTCAAGAGAGTGGAAAGGAGAGGGAGGGAGAGAGAGAGAAACATCATGAGAGAGAAACATTGACCTGCTGCTTCCTGCATGCCTCCTACTGGGGATTGAGCCTGTAACCCAGGCCTGTGTCCTGGCCAGGAATCGAATAGTGACCTCTAGGTGCATGAGTCAATGCTCCGCCACTGAGCTGTTTACTTTGGCTGGGCTATGTACTCTGTTTTAATAGAAGAGCAAAATTAAGTTTATCAACATACCCTTTCATTCCTTTACCATTGTATCACTCTCAGTGGGGCCTGGAAGGGCCTAGAATGCATACCTCATTCCTTTCAGGCACATCCCCTTCCAGGTTGTGGGCGTCTGTCAGGCTTCAACAAGAGAAGCAGAGCCAGTACAGTATATATGTAAATGTACACGTTTATTACAAGCTATTTGCTTATGGATTGTGTGTGCTGCTAAGCAAGGCTGAAACCCATAGGGCCAGTGGTCAAAACAGGAAGACCACGGGCAGGTGGAACTCACAGGCGTAGGCCGGAGTTGTCTGAGGCCGAGCAGAGGGGAAGAGTGGGAACAGGATGGATTTCACAGGAATGGGTGGACTGCTGTTCACAGGCGGAATTTCTTTTTTTCATGGAAGCTTTTAAGGCTTCTGCTTCTGATGCCGTTCAACTGATGGAACCAGGCCCACCCGCGTTACCCAGGATGCTCCCTGAGATCTCATTGGGGGCTCTTATTGCATCTGCCAAATCCCTTCACAGCAACACCTAGCAGTGTCTAATCCAGTGGCGGGACTGCAGCCTAGCCGAGTTGACACACAAGAAAAGAAAAAACAGCCAACAAATTAGCCAGTTCTCAGCAAATGGCCATTTGGATTAAGTTTGTTGTGTTTATAGACTTATTTAACGATACAGAAACTTCTGTGTGGAGATTGTAGTTTACAGATAAAGACACTAGGCTTCAGGCCGGTAGAATAAATTGCCTGAGTCCCCCATCCTCACCCCTATTTTTGCCATGTTACCTTTAGGATTGTCACCATAAGAAACATTCAAACCTATAGAGAATTTTTGTGAGTTTATTTGACCCAAATTGTGGACAATTGCCGGGAAGCAAAATCTCAACAGATTGAGATATTGCTCCAAAGAAGGGCAAGTTTGCACCTTATTTTATACATCACAATCAAAAGAGGAGATGCAAGCAGTTGCATGAAATCCACTGGTGACAGATGTGGGAAATGGAAGAAAGCAAAGTGAGGAAGCCTCTGGGATTGGATGAAAAGTAAAATGACAGACACATCTTTTACATACTGCTAGTTGGTATGGGATAGTTAACAGTCAACAATTAACTCAATAACAATAGGGGATGTGTGATCTCCACAGAGTGGTGTCTGGAAAAAGGAATATTACTTTGACATTCCAAAGATCTGTTATTACAGGTGCAAAAAGACAATAGACAGGTTCACTCAGCCTTCCCTGAGCTGGTCAGGTTAGCATGTGTCCCCTTTTTGTTCACATATATCACTTAAGGTAAAGATTATCAGGGAAGATGCCAGTCTAGGACATAACTACCTGCTATAAACGGCTTTTTGTTAAAAAATTTAATTTCAGACCATCCTTTGTGGTTACTTTAGGTCTCTGAGTTTGCAAGGCCACCACACAGGCCTTCCCTGAGCTGATCTGGTTAGCATGTGACCCCTTTTTGTCCATACATATCCCTTTTGGCCATAAAACAATCCAAAGGATGCAATGATGATCAACCTTTTGGTTGGATAACAAGGTCCCACAGTGCTAGGAAGGCTCATTCCTAGGAAATCTCAGCATTAGCACTTGTCTTGCTGAGTGATGGATTATTGGGGATGGGGCAAGACCATAAGCTTGCGTGGAATTCAAGGCCAAATTTTTTCCCCTCCCAAGTAAAAGACAGGTAAATGGGAGGCAGTTAGGTCTTATGGGTCTTTACTAAGAAAAACACTCTATATTATTTATTATCTACAAACTATTATGAGATCCAGGTTTTGTTACCTGTCTCACTTTTTCTATTATATTTTGCATCTAATATAACATTTCACTTATAGTTTTGAGGGCATAACACACACCTTTTTAGTCTTTATAAGCTGACCATGAGATGGGTTTGCTAAAAGGCTAAAGAACAAGTATAATAATAAT